CAAGTATTTGCTTGGCCTACAAGGAGTCGATCGATTGAAAATAGGTCGAATATGGCGCAGAGGAAATCGATGCTTGGAGAAAGCGGTTTCAACAATGGAAGAATACATTTAATCCGGCGTATATCTGTAGTAGTGACCACTGGCGACTGTCATGCAAGGTGATACAGAGATTTCGCCGGCCACCAAATTGCCCGTTGAACGAATGCGGATAGTTACTATTTGCTGGTGATTTTAGTGAAAATCTTTGGTTAGAGAATTCATCATAAGGATGTAAAACGTCAAGTGCTGTAACTCGTAATTTATGATTACTAACTAAGTTTTTGCAAAATGCTTCTCGAAGGAACTTGTGATTGACAGACAACTTGACGCTGTTAGAGATGCTCTCATTAGAGTTTTCTATTGCTTCGATTTGAATATGCTCGTTGAACGCGAAAATAACTTTAGCCCATACACACGTGTCGTTCAAGTAAATTTATCTATTCTGGTGTCAATAACATAAATTGTGATGAATGATTCAATAATGATAAAATGATTCAACGCTTCGAAGATCTACTATATCAGCCTCCTTTAGATAGATCTTTTTTCGAAATAAATAAGCGTACTCTCAATGTTACATTCATACAAATTCTCATGCGTTTCGAAACGGCAGCTACTTTTCTCATCGCTCTGCTCTACAGTTACGCTCTTCTCCTGTATCTTTGCACAAGTGCATACAATTCCAATTAGGTAGCTCAGTACCCTGACAGTTTTCTCAGTAAATCTTTTAATCACATTCGGCACAATGGCGAAATTCTTACCTTACGATCCTTGAAATCAGCTCATTTAGCGGTAAGTGAGGACTTGGCCTATGCGCGGGTCATAAGAATGAGTTTCGCTTGACACGGTACGCTGTCAAATGCTAACCACAATCTAATTCTCACGGGACAGTGCCTCTTCCAGGCGGCCATATTGAGCCAGCTAGGCCAGATAATTACCTAGCTATTTAAGATGCACGTCCACAGCGTATCCGTCAAGTGTTACCGGCTCCGCATCAGAAGTTCAGATGAACTGCCGTTAAAAGAAGGTTGCCCTTGATCGACTGCAGTTACTCGATGCGATTGTCGTGACCTATCCCTCCAGGCTTAGATGCAGGTGCAAATATAGCTCTTTTTGGATCCGTCGCGAAAACCAGCGTGACAATCCTCGACCTGGGTGGTTACTAGCTTTTCCATAGGTTGTTGCTGTTTCTTTGGCCTAAACGAGCTGTTGCGCCCATCGTCCTGCAACAAGGTAACGTGAAAGGAACGCTCGGGTGCTCGCCGAAGGCGGAAATATGTCGTTGTTGATGTTGATGCCGCTACTACCGCTGCTGCTGTTATTGTGTTTGTTGTTTCGATTATAGCTGACGACGAACTAAGCTGAGATTTTCGCGCACCACCTATCACCTCTCGTTTCGAGGAGCCATCGCGTAAACCATGTAAGGTTAGAGTAGCTTGGGTTAACTCCCTTGGCTTTTTCCTTACCATTCGTATCGCCATTAAGATGACCAACCCATAAATGATCGAAAGATAGCCAGCTGTTCGATTTCTACACGACAGTGTGATGTTTACCTATCGAACGAAAGAGAGTACTTAACTACACCTGAATAGTCAGCAGCTAAACGGCGAGTCAGCTGAACTTGATGGCTGGTTCTCGAGCTCTGAAAGACTAAAGTATGTGTATTCGGCAATTCTAAGAAGGGCTGTCTCGCAAACTAAGCAAACGAAGCCATATAGGTTTGTTCATAGCATATTTTCAAGCAGTTTTTGGGAGTGCTCTTAAAAAAAAAATGGCAAAAACTTGTAAGAACGGTACTTTGCTCATGTGATTAGCATTACATTGTTAACTAATGCGGAATATGTTAAGAGAAAAGTTACCTGCACAGTTCGTACACACATATATCGCCACATATATTCTACCCAAAGTTGTAAGCATTAAGGAGCATCTGGTGAGGTGCCCTTACTTCTAATAGAATCGTGTATATCTGTGATATTAGATAAACTCCAAATACTTTCTTTTATCGAATGGTTTGATCCACTGTTTTGGTTAAACTTCCAAATGATGCCAGATTTACGTGCAATTTTACGTAAAATTTCAGCCACTTTATTATAACGTATCGAATTATTGTGTCTGCCTAGCCAATGGCATTGAGCTCATTATGTGGCTGAGAAGGTCGTCGTCGTTTTACAGAACTTCGAGTATACTCACCGTATGTTGAAAGGATTTGATACATAGCTTGATCAGTGTGAAGCGTACCGTATAGTTTTTTATCTATATTATTATATTTTAAGATCTGCGTTATGTTTGTCAATATCTATCAGTGCTTGTTGGCGTTTAGGCCAAAGCTCGACCCGGCTGTCAAAGGTACTATACCACTAATGTTCGACCCTATCGAATTAACGTGTGTAACAGCTTTTGAAGATGAATTTACAACCAATACTAGAAACGTAAATTGGCGCGTTAACTGGGCAGCGAACTATTGGAGGAATTACAACAGTGGAAACTCGACGCAGTGCAAAGCTCATCCAGACTACTCGCTATAGCCGTTATTGGGCGTCTTCTTGTTTTCTTAAGGGCCTCCATATATTAAGTGGCCAACGTTCGCCCTTGCTTTTACGATGAGGTCTTTAACGTTAAATTTCAGCGACATCCTGTTATTGGTTCTTGCCTGTGCCAGCCATTACCCCCGTGAGTAACAGTCCCGTCCTCATAATATAGGTACGTGTAGATATCGCCTACAAACCCATCGAAGTGTCTATCTTTTGAAGTGGAGCCCAAGTGAACATTGCTACCGGGCTGTCACGTTATAAATAGTAGTAGTATCATACCTTCAACAGGCAGTTGTTGCTTGGTGTTGGCCCTGCAGACCATGACCTTTTGATATTGTTTGGTTCGTCAGAGACAATTATTAAGTCTTACCTTTTAAGTGCAAAATTTTAGTAAAACTATAGTAACGCATGAGTGAAGCATCACAGAGTAACTTTTCTCTATCGTAGTACGATAGGTGGCTTCGTAGGCTTCATAAACGTCGAAACCGCAATCATACGGGCGGACTGATTTGTTACCAACTTCCAAAGTTCCTGTTGACATCCTATCGATGTCGCGTAGACAGTCGAGAGTACAATGGATTAAAACAGCTATAATAGCGGACCCCTTGTCTCGGGTTTCTAAGTTTGAGAAAGTTAGGCAAGCAGATGTCAGGGTCTAAGCTTTGCAAAAAAATTGTCAATGTTTAGAGAGCTGGCCCAGCAATCCAATCAGTCATCAAATCAGGGACACCCCTGTCAGAAGCTGCTTTGGTGTACAATGATTCTCTGAGCCTAAAATAGAGTAGCAAAGATCCAAATTTGTTCATTTAAGAAGAGATCTGGAACAGACGAGAAAAGAAAACTCTTTATGCTTAATAGATCAACTGAATGCTGGGTTTGAGCCTTATATGATATAACGAGCATGAGATCAGCATAGTTAATTTGGCTCAATAAACTATGGAAGGTCTAGCTGATAGATCGGTCCGTGATAACTGCGATCCCATAGTCATCGAAGCTGCTTAGACCATGTAACTGTTTTATGACAAAAGCTCTGAAATCTGAAAACGGGTTTGCCACTGTGAAACGATCCTATTGAAATAGGTGTTCCAGCATATGTAATTGAATAATAAAAAGCCTTCGAATAAGAATCCAGTGCCTGATCCTGTATACTTCGCGGACACTGAAATGCTCGTTCGCTGTCGCTGTACAACGAATAGTCGGAATCGGTTGTATGGATGGAACGCTGGCCATCAGACCTTGTTACTGCGGTTATTTTCACTTAACATGATTGATATATCTTTGGGAAATTGTCAGCTAGCTCCCAATTCTATCCGGGTACCTGCAGAAGTAATACACACACACACACATATGCATATCACTCTAAACGTAGTCCAGATGTGCCTGTGCCGCGAAGTAGCAGAATGGTGCGACCCCTACCGGTACCCGAATAATCACTAACACATGCTAATCAACACTCAACGTTTCGTATCAGCAGTACGACGAACATCTCCTAAACCGCTAGAGAGACAGACAGACAGACAGACAGCCAACCAGCCAGCCAGTCAGTCAGTCAGTCAGTCAGTCAGTCACCTCAAGTATTCAAATACCATCTCTTCTTTCAGCCAATATTGGCTATGCGAGATCGGGTGGTACCTCCCCCTCCCCTACCCGCCGAAATAAAATGGCAGCTGTAGCAGAGTAGCTGCTACGGCTGTGAGTGTTATGTCAAATATTGGCTCAGCCGACCAGTGGAAAGAGAGAAGACCGGACAAAAGGCGACGAACAAGCTCAACTTCGATCCAGGATTTAACAGGGACGCTCTAAGCAATCTCTTCTAGGGATTTTCGTTTTAATCTCTATTTTTCTTCCTGTTTTAGGTTGTAGTGGACGATCGTAGTGAAGGTATACTTACATAGACACACATAGACATATACACAAACATGCAGACGCGCAGATCCTCTGAACATAAACGCATTCAACAGGTGTGCGACATTGGCTGCTACGGCAATAGGCAATACAGGTCAAACGCGGACCAGCGTTGTCGGTGAACGATGCGAGTTTCGATCCTTTGTCTATAGTCAATCACCGCTGCGTACCTCTGCATCTACTTGGCTTGTTGTCACCTCGTTATGTGTAGACGATCTATTCTATACGAATTGAGCCTAGCTTGGAGTCCATATCGGACATACGTACGCGTCAAATGTACTATTTATATAATAAATGTCAAGGTGCGACTAACAATAAGGCTATCAATCAAGACCTATTCTGTCTTCTTATCTACCTACTATGCCATATGTAATGTATATTTATAAATATATTTTGGCTATCGTATACATACACTGACTGTTTGGGCTGAAAATACACAGGGATAATAGTAGCAGTAATCATGGTGATGGGACGTGTATGCGCAAATGAATAGCGACCGAGTCGGTTACTCCGGAGTAATTTTTTGGCAAATTTATTTGCAAGTGTTTTTTGCTTTGCTTCGTGTTTGACGTCCGATATTTGAATTGTTAGGCATCGCTTCCGCCTGGCCATTTTCAGCGCGAAATGAAGTGCGCAAACTTAGACCATCACGTGTCCTGAAGTTACCTACTGGATTACAACGGGCCAAGCACAAGTCGCTAGATGTTAGCAAGCGTGTGAAAGACGCGTAATTTTCGCTTCGAACCCAAAGAAGCGCGACACCTCGCGCCTCGGATCCAATATATCGACTTTTTTTTCTATTGGGAATTATTGAACAACCCAGTTAATTTGGTTTTTTGTATTAGCGGGAATTGCGTGTCGAAAATAGGCTATGTCAAAGGAACACCACTACATAGATGGTGCTGATGCTCCTTGGGTCCGGCTTGAAAATAGAAAATAAAAACGAAGATCCGGGTCATATGAATGCAAACAATAAAACCATTCGTGGGTACAGCAAGGCTAGTTCTGAATTCTGAATGAATCTCAGAAAATGTGCGAAGGTGCTCTCGATGGCGTACAACATCAATCTTACAAGGTTTAAAATTTAAAAATATGGATATTCAGGGAAAAAACCTCATCAAAAGCACTAAGAATAAATAACTTACACTACCTAATAAAGAAAGAAAGAAAAAAGTATTTGAAATGACTGGCACAAGGGAACTGAGAAGAGAAACCATTCTGGGCAGTGCAAAAACTACCTTGTACGCTTACACAAAAATGAAACCCTGTTCTCAAGACAGACGCTAAGGCTACAATCAGTCGGACATTACTGCGACCTTTTTATGGATCGCAAAGATTGAACCAATGTTATAATGCAATTCCATCATATGACATATGGAAACAGCCTCGTCTGAGCTGTACGCATCGATAGCCGTCACTCGATGAGGACTTTCGACCGTAGTTGTTTTGTCTGTAAGTATAATCGACGGGTAGTAATTGCTAATGAATGGACGGACGGGCTTGACGTCAGTCAGATATTGAGATCAGTTTACCATTCAGGAACGTATTCTTGACGGCAGTATTTTGTTGTATCCACGCGCGTCGCTGAAACGTCACGCGAATTCTAATTTGATTCATTGCCTCGGGAGCGGGGTGAATGCGTGGGCAACAGACCAACTCGGACCCGCAGGCCGAAGGTAAAGATCAATCTAATATTATTTTCATTTGTTTTTTTTTGTTTTAGCAGTGTCCTGTACATCTCTAATTCCGGATGCATTGACCGCAAGTACGTGTTATGTGCGAAAGTGTTTCGGTAGGAGCTAAGCTAGCAAAAACAAATCCAGTATAAGACTTTCACGTTCGAGCATAAAAATTCGATGTGATTAACTTCGATTTATTCCTAACCTACAAAACAGTGTCTTTACTACAAAGAATTTCGGACATCCTATAATACCTAATGCGGTAGTTGTTGTTGTTGTTGTTGTTGTTGTTGTTGTTCTCACGGTACCTGGTGCCTGTTCCGCTTGCAGCCGTTAGCGGATACGACACCTGTCTTTAGATGACTCTAATCATTATTCATTGTATTTCAGATATTTCTACTATAGAAACTTACGCTGAACGTTCTCGAGGTAAGCTCATCTTAAATGAGGACTTTGTGCTGACTCACCTACGTAATGAGCTTTATAATAAGATAACAACGTTTTGTGTGTTCTCGTATTACTGAAAAGAAAATACTATATAATTCTGACTCAATCAAGAACGTCGAGTATGTAAGCAATTATTTTCGTACATACTCAATATGAGAACTTTCAAGTTGAGAAATATAATATTGCTTCACCATTGTTGACAACTATAGGACTGTTCGTGCTTTAGTAGTAAGTTCCTTAATTGTGCCTTTCGCCTCTGGCTTCGCAGGCAGCACCTTGCTCTTGCACCAGAGTTCGTGCAGAAAGCAATCCGTAGTTGAACTATTTCAACTTGATTTTTTTCTGCACGAACTCTAGTGCAAAAGCAAGGTGTCGCCTGCAAAGCCGGAGGCCAAACGCACAATTAAGGAACACAAACAGTCCTATAGTTGTTAACAATGGTGAAGCTATTTCACTCGTTTATCTATGTATAGGTATGCAGTACTCTCGAAAAAGTGGCGACATTTTATCATTAAAGCCGAGTTAAAGCCACAAATGTAGCCTGCTATGTTACAGTCGTACAACCCGCAATGAAAAAAGACCCGCAAACGCAGCAAGATTTTACAGTATTTGCAACAATTTGATGCTCAATATTGAGCCTTCCTTTCCATTGGGCCTAATTGATAAGCTCGTAAAGCTGCTCCACGGTCTGACAATGGATGTCCATAACCATAGTTTAATTCCACCGAGGAAAGATTCCACCGAGGAAAAGAGAAAAGAATGCCCATGCTGCTGCTTTGGTTAATCTGCAGCTGCGTAACAAGAATGGCTGAAAATAAACTGATTATGTGTTATGGTATATCCTTTTTGCTTTGAAACAGTATTGCCGTAATCAATTGTTAACAGTGATCAAGTTAAAATTGAAACCTTTTAAATATTATCTGGGTGTTATCATCAGCCTTATGCTCATTACCCATCGTACTAGATGTCTTCAAGTAACGTGAGAGTATTGAAGAGCCTTTCTGTTTGACAAGGACCTGGTTTCTATGTGGGTCACCTTTAGAACACCCCAATGTACAAAACTCCTTGGTGAGCGGTTACTGCGCCCGTGAAGGTAATGCCGCCCCCAGACTCCGCCGCATAACACCCTACAACAGCTCTGAGTTGGTCGGACACCGCCAACCATAGGTCTTTTCATTGTCCGTAAATACGCCTGCCGGACAAGTGCTCAAGTGGTGGGAAAGTACGCTAGACTTGTGGTATAAACCGCGTCGGCAAAAGCGGCCCGATATCTACTCTCCTACACTATACAACGCTTTATTCGTTCTATTGCGTTTCATTGCGTTGTTGTTTATAACGATTTCAATAACTCGTCATGCCAAAGTGAAATCCAAGTTAGGTACCTTTGAAGAACATTGCATCGAACTATCTAGAAACATGCTTTGCTTACTGTATTAGTCGATGTCATTGTTTGTTTTTATTTTTTCATGCGGATCCTTAAGCAACGTTCATATGTTACCACCACAATGGTCGAAATCATTTACTGGTTTCGGTCTCTTAAAGCTGCACATCCATAGTCCTCGATGAATATGGCTAGGCTCTCCTATAGAATAGGCATCGATACTAAGTTTGTCTATGTGTGTTGAAAAAAAGTGTTGTAAATTGTGCTGCGTTCCACTCGGCGCGATCAGATTGATCTTGTTCGAGAAACAGGCCCTAGAACTGTTGTTGTCGGGCTAGTTAGCCAGCAAAACTCAACAAATACCTAACATGGGCATTCTCACTTGAGCTAGGGGTCTCTAGCCCAGCAGGGGGTGCACTACGCATAGAATCTGGGAGCGTTTAGAAGGAGCGGACGTACGGGGCGTATAGCACAGAGACGTAGGCGTTTCTGATAACCCGCGTTGCTCGTGGGCGTACAAGGACGTGCTGTGAGTTAGTCCGAGAAGAGGAACGAGGGAGTGCTCATGCTAACGCTTCAGCAGCTCCTTCTGCCAATTCAAACTTGCGGTTGACTCAGTTAACGTGCTGATATTGATCGTTGCTTAGATACCGTAACCAGAACGACTCTACAACTACTTCGGATGTTTAGCTAGACGAGTGCTGTCAAACGAAGCGTGCATTTGAATCTACTCGTTAACGGAGTGCTTCTTCTATTGGTTCTCTTAAATAAATAGAATGAGAAAAAAGAAATCGCTGACATCGTTTCGTGTTATCTTGACAATTAATCGTGATGCGTATCCCGCATGGAGGAGCAGAAACACTTAGGTAATGAAGTTTTGAATCATGCTTTGAAATGCTTAGGTAACTGTGACCTTAGCTTTTATGGGTCTCCTGTTCAGTTTGCTGTTGAGACATGACCTATCTAAAATGAAGAATTTAATTCAAGCCCTCAGGATCTAGCTGATTTAAAAAACAGTCCGCTTCTAATTTAAAGATGTGAGATTCTGTTGAATGAGTAACGTTGCACCGTGGTATTAAAGGTGGTAACCGAATCGGCAAGGCTAACATACATAACTTTGAAGTAGCTAGTAACGATCGAATGTTTCTATGCTATGTTTATTCCTAAGAAAGCATGAAAACTGTCAAATGTTTGTACTTAAGCATTAAATCATGTAAAAGCGTTCCTATATGCATTTTTTTAACATGGAAAATTCGAGCCGTTGCCGTGGCTCAGATTCTCTGAACATACTGAGTTCTAAATCAGATTTTACTTACCAACTGCAAACATACGTAGATCGATACATACAAACAAATAACAATCAACTTTCATGCGACTCTGATGAACTAGGAGTAATTCTCAAGGATCGATGCGGCGTTATTCGACATCCAGACATGACGATGTTATACGGCGTTGACCGATTCATCGTTACTGCAACGCACCACACGGATAGAGTGGTCTTTTTCATTTATGAGCAAGAGTACGTACCGTCAAGTTCGGTTATTATGGCAATGCACTGCGTCGTCAAACTTGCTAGTCATAATCAGAATATAATTTTGCTTTATTTATCTTTTTTAAATCAATTCTCCACATGTACGACATTTTGTTGGCCTGTGTGAACTGGCTAACCATTTAGGACCTTACATTATACACAACACGTGCTCCTGCTTTTATACGTTTACTGCTTACGTAAACAGAGAGAGACCTATGTTGATCAGTAGCCATAACACGCGTCATCTTATTGCATACGTACTAGATCTTTTCAGCTCAGTAGATAGCAATATAGAAAAGCGATAAAAGGATTTGAATAAGGTCTGTAGTATAGATTGTGGTAAATGCTAAATATATCGTCCAGGGTTAGTGTCCTCTGTCCGCAAGAGAATCTACGTGTAGTAGTTTGCTTACTAAGTTTGGAAATGCATAAGTTCATCTAGGTTTGAATTCCGACGTCCCGCTCCCTGCTTAAAAGCAACTAAGGGCCTAAAATTTTGTTACGAAGAACCAGTCAAGATTAAAGATAAACTTCGTATTCGTAAGTGCTTAAGCCTTTACTAGATAAGTAAGTCTCACACGAAGAACGAACGTTCTGACAAAATACACGTACCATCGAAAAGTTGCACTTCGATCCAAAGGCCGTAAATATGTCTATAATTCTTAAAATTTATGTTTAAGCCTACCTAACAAAAACTGTCAATTCATTTTAAGAAGAAATCTTACTTACCAGATCATGAGCCTGCGTGAATAAAGCAAAATCATATGATTACTATTATATTTTATGTATGGAATATTTGAATCAGGTTGTTGCCGTCATCCGGCGTTTTTCTCTAGCAAAGCAACTCATCTCATGCTGTTATTTGTTCCTTTCTAGCCTATAGTCCTTCATATGTCCAGCACATGTTTTCACATTAGCAAGAAGTTAAATCTGAACTTCTTGCTAATGTGAAGCAGGCATGGTTTGATTTAGCCTGTTACGCGTTTACTCGGTTGCAGTCATCCTGGTTAAACTACTACGATTTTCCCGTTACAACTCTTTACATTCTATCTTCAAAGCTCAATACATGAACAATGTCAAAGACAAAGAGTCATTTAATGGCCTTATTATGTAATCCTTTTAGCAGTTTTTTTTTAATAATTCAATGGCCTTGCTATGACTGTTACGATATCTGCGTTCTGTAACTTGGCAGTTGATCCGTTAGCATGCCGGCATCAGCGATGCCGTTCTCGAATCCAATGAATTAAGTTATGAATTTTCTAGTGTTGACCCATTACCCAATCATGATTGCTTTACTATTATCAAATGATGAGCTTTGAATAGACCCACAAACCGTAGTCCACCCGAAAAATCAACCAAGGAAAAAACGAATGAGTCGTGTTGATGTACCTACACAGAAAAGATAGAAATCGATCTTTTTTTTTCTAAGACTGGCACTTAGTGTCTACTATACAGAGCCCATTTCTCTCAGTTATACGGCTCTTGCCATTCGATTATTCTCGTAAACTCCACGAGATATATTTAAAACCGTTTTTAAAACACAATCCCAAGTTTCTTTCAGGCCCATGAATATTTTAGTTTATTGTGGCTTCTAATAAAATACGAACAATATTCTTGTGGTGATTTGTAGGGATGATGCCAGTTTTAAGACCGACGCCCCGCTACCCCCCTATCCAAAATATCCAATAATCTCCGAAAAAAACACCGCTGAGATTCATTTTCGTGAGGACAGCAGAGCCCGAATATCACTTTTCTACCGCATTTTGAACATTGGTATGCTAAATTTAATTTAACGGAGTTACCCTTACCCGAATTATTGCCAGCTATCCATATCTAGACCGACGTAGAATAGAGAATTTCTAAGCTTGATTTTCGTTCGTGGAATAAAAAATGGTAAGGATACGCATATATATATGGAAAAAACCTGACATAACTGTTGATTATAGTTTTTGCCATAGGCTGAAAGCAGTCTTTTCGAAAACTAACTGTAGGCGACTTCGGAAACGCTGAAAGTCTTCGGAGGCTGCTCTGTAGAGGGAGGGAAGGCCGGTGCCAGCCGCGTTCAAGACAGCGTTCTACAGACATACATTATCTTCTGCTCACGTTTCCAACGGATTTTATGGGTGAGGTTAGTGTCACGGCAGATTAATGGGTACGGGCATATATGGCATAATTTTTACACAAATTTAACATTAAAATGTACGTAAAGTACATATTTGATGAAAAACTAATCCAAGTTCGTGTATTTTTCCATTCTCTAAAGCCCAATGCATTAGCTAGTTGCGATTTGAAAGGGGCCAGCCACAAGGAACTAAATAATATTTCTTTTTTTTTTATGTTGAATTGCATGCTACTGTCTATGTACAGACATAGAAGGGCATCATAGTTTTCTATCAAAACTCTTAGGCTTTGATGAATCTTTACTAGAGCTGCTTGAATTTCTGAACGACCTCTGTCAAAATAAAGTATCACCTGCAGCTGTCACTACTTACAGAGCCGATCCTCTGAAGATATATATATCTTATGTTTAAAATATTTATATGTTAATAAATAAAATAATAATAAAAAACCTCATGTGCATGTAGCCGATGTAGCGGCTTGCACAGTTTCGATCGATTAAGACATGTTCCTATATAACGTGTCAATCACTGAAGCTCCATTAAAAATAGCATGCTCTCTGAAGATGAATATTTCTGAATCTGATTGTGCAGCTCAGCTACGGCAAACGGAGAGTAGCAACAGAGATTCAACGGCACCACGATAACAATGGTAGTGATCTTCATTAAGCTAGTAATGGACTCTCAACATTACTACAGACGACCATCTCTGCTGGTTACCATCCTGTCGCCCATGATAAATGTAGTCAACGTGTCGGTTGGTGACAACATTTTAACAATGTGTCGTCATCCTCGGCGTCATTTTGGCGAAAAATCTTACGTTAAATATTTATTAGCTATTATAGCGCACCTGCCTATATATGCCCGCGTGTGCCTAGGTGTGTGTGTGAAGAGAAATCTACATCGGATTACCTCTATCCGATAGCAGTTACATGTGGGGATCGTAAATCATGTTTTCGACAAGGCGTGAACTAACCGCCAAACGTACGAACGCTGCGAACGAAAACGATGTAGCTATTTTTGCTTTAACTCCCTTCTTTGGGTTTTGTGGGAGGAGATGGGGTTGCCCAGAAAAAAACTGAGTTGAAGCCACGGACAACGACATATCGCACGCCTTCGGGCTTCAGCGCCCAAATGGGTTTCCCATTTCGTATGCTGAAAGCTTAACTGCCTCACAACGTCCGTTCGAGTCGACGCAGTTAATGAAGAACGTGCCGTGACTAACAAACGGGGTCTTGGCGTAAGTATCCAAGAGAATTGCATTTCCTGTCTAACAAACGGTCATACCGTAAATCGACGCAGTGTTTTTGTGGAAGGGGGCTGGTAAGTTAACAAATAGCTACAAGCCCTCATCGACGCGCCATTACTGCTAAGGTTATCTTTGTTGTTTCCTTGTTGACGACGTTTGTTGAGAACCACAGGCAAAAAAGCGGGAAACACAAGAACCAGATATTACAGTTGCTCTCTCCAGACGGGGTGTGCCCGTAGTCAGCTATAGCTGCCATGTTATCTACATTTACAATTGTAGGAAAGATAAATATCGTTGTCATCTGTACCATCCTCTTTGTCCTGCGAATCAAACTTTGTTGTTCAAACAAAGTTTGAGTCGTAGTTGACCACTGATCGCGAACAAGCTGGCCACTTTGGTCAGCTTTTGCGTATAACGACAGCTGAACTGTACTCTGTATTGGTGCACATATTTTGCAATGGACGCTCGATGTTCGTACTGCATTAGGTACTGTTCTCGCTATTCATGCATACATTATAAACACGCTTTGTCGTGCTTCTTCCCGCCATCCAACTGCCTATTGAAAATTTTCTGGAGATAGTAGAGAAACAGAAAGCTTTAACGATACAAACACTTACTGTACAGAATGATCCGTACCATACTGATGAGTGATGAGTAATAGCGTAGCCAACTGCTACGCCGGTCTCAATTACGCGTATTGTGTTCTGTGTCCATTCGCGGCAGCCGTATAGCTGTCAGCCCTGAATCGGACGGCGCAGGATGCCTCGTAGCCCATGATACGAAGACAGCTGCTGAAGAAGTAGGTAGAGCCGATATTAATACATATTGTATGGCACTGATGTATTCATGAGGTGGACCGGATGGGGCAACTAAGGAGCTATACGGGGCAGGTTGACTGGCTTGAGAACCGAGGCCTCTAACTGAGCGCCTGCTCTATAGCGTTCACTGGCCCTCTAGGGGCGAACAGGATAAAAGGCTTGCCATTGGCCAGGATACCATAACAGATGGGTCCTCCATTGGTCCGGGTGGTCATGCGGGTTGTCACGATCGCTCATTGATCGCTGATGTCGTAGTTGAGTTGTCTCTCCACGATCTTCGTTAGCTAAGCGGGGCGCGCATTGGATATCGAAGAGTCAAAAAAAAGCAGCATGGAGCAGACTTCTGCATCAGCATGAAAGCGCTGTGATTGCATTAATTGCCTGTGTGCCCATTGGCACAGATACGGCTGGTTAGTAGCTAAATGGAGACATATTGAGAGCGTGTTCGCCCGCGCAGAGAAACAGAAACTCTCACAGAAACCCTTTACAAGTGACAGACAGTATAGGCTTGTGTATATCTATCTATCCATGCTCGAATGTGATGCGACGGCCTGTCAAGGAAATTCTTTTGAGGAAAACTCAAATGCCCACGGATGTTGGACGTATTTTACAGACTATTTGGAAAACTTTTGAAAACGGTTACGTTTAGAACTACGCGCCTGCTTTTGATAGGACAGAAAAGTAACCTGCCCCCCGTATACTTACATGTTAGATGCTTTCCTTATATAGCGGACTGTGTCGAAGTAGATGATTGAAAAGCTGTTTATTACGCCTTGCTTAGCTGTGATTGTGTCATTTTTATGCCAACAAACAAGGGCGAGTTTGCTGTTGTCGTTTCAATATAGAATTTATCCTGATGTAGGGTTGACCTCGGCGTCCTTCTCGGATGCTCTATATTAGATGGGTATACAGAAGCGTGGCGATACATGAGTTAACGTTACTAAAAGAAAGCGTATGAACCAGGCCAATCAGAGAAGGCCTTTATTTGACATTAACTCGGCTTAACTCAGTTTCAAAGGCGAACGCAACAACGCACATCTTAGCCCTTCGACCCAGTTACCGCGACTCTCGAAATATGCTGTTATATCTCCAGGAAATACTTTCCTTCTGAAACCTACCAAACCTAGTCAAAACTCACAGATGTACGGATTTGTCTTCAAAAGTCAATGAAACTAAGGTTGGCTATTCGTTTGTTCGCACTGAATGGTAATAGTTAGGAGATTTGGTAAACCCTAGCACACGGTCCATTGACCATTAACAAATCTATTCACAACATAATCGTGCTTACCTTGCTGACTCAAGCCGTAAACGCTTAATTATGTTCAAGTTGTTACCAAAATATACGAAAGCAAGAAGAAACTATTCGTATAATATCCCTTCATTTTCTATATTTTTTAAGTGAGCTGCGCTGTGTTCTTAATACTCACGTCTCCTTAGTTCTATATTAAATGCATGCCGTTTTGCCATATGCCTCAAAGAGAACGCTCTGTTATAACAACGATGGTAGTGAAAACATTTCGTGCAAAAAATAGCTTTACGCTGACCATTATAACGTAAGGCGATTTTCATCGCCTTCAGCAATTGTTGGGTGCCACTATCTTCCGATCTTCGATGAAGACAAGCCTATTTTTCCTCACGAGCCCTCACTTCGGAAGGATGGACGGTGCTTCAAAGGCGCGCCCTAACTGACTTCATTTGGTTGCGCTACCTCGTTAGTGGCGATGACAGCCGCTGAAAAAGGCTATTGGCGAAGACGCGAACGATAGCTGACGCCGGCAGAAACCTTACTGACAGCGAAGAGAAACAAAAAGTCGAAATAGCATTGAACGCTACTCACGTCGAACAGTCTTCGGTGGCCTCAACAGTTTCGGTCTACTCGATCGTAGTACGGGCCTCTTTTTTTTCTTTAAAAAAGGAAAAACCTGTATACAGCAACGGATAGAAAGAAACCAATGACTATGAGAAGCTTAGCTGGCGTCTCGTACGCACCGTGACACATCGTAGTACGTGGTCACTAACAGCCGCCGATGCTGGTTGTGGCCAGAGTGTAGTGAGCTCTCGCGCAGTATATATCAAAAAAACAAGCGAAAAATCGCTGGTCTATCAGAACGACGACTCACAAAGATTTGGGAAAGTTCTGGTTAAGGTGAGGAAAGGCAACGAGATCTGAAGGTTATAAAAGTGGTTCAACAAGAGACGACAACAATAACAACAGCAATAGCAACAACGAAGCCAAAGGGATCATTGGCAAAAACGGATCAACAGTTTCGGGCAGTCATCGACCAACAAGCAAAAACCGATTGGATCGGGTACCGTGGATAGTCTTCAGCCTGTGTCTTCACCGGCGTAAAAAACGTGGAGATTCCGTTGAACAAACACAAGAGTACTACGATCCGGTCATCTAAGCGAGGGTTAGCGCTACCATTTGCTGCAGTTATTGCTGCTGTCGATGTACAGGGTTAGTGCTCCGGATAAGTGACTCGGTGGATCATACGTGAGCCTCTCGATCGACCTAAACAGACCTTGACCGCAGGTAGCACGCCATGGAACGGAGTAGCCAGCGTCTTTGCCAACCATCGCAACTAATAGTTATCATCACAACCAGCAGAACGAGAACAGCGAGTAACAGAAGCAAAATTGGGAAAAAGCAGATGAAAAAGCATAAAAATTCGCTTTAAGTCTAGCTAGCTTTAGTCAGACGGATCCGACGCAGGTAAAACAGGCGAATCGAAGCAAATAAGGCAACTGAAATATAAATAGAAGGGAGCAACAGGATAATGCTAAAAGAACTAAAAGCCAAATGCGACAAAGAATAACAAATTAAAAAATGAAAGGAAAGGTGCGAACCAGGCTGATAGGCTGACGAATGCAGAGAAAATGTTGGTTCTCAGAGCCCAGCCATGACCATCGCAAAGGCCATATTCGGACATCCACAATACAAACAAACATAGATAAAGCAGCCGCAGTAATTGACGTTTGTAAGAAAAAACAAACGGGTAATAGGTAAGCAACTATGCGCGTTTTACACCGTAAGAGCGTCTGTGGACTATTAAACACACAGAAGAGCGTTTATATAGAGAGGTAAATCGGTCGATCAATGTAAAGTGTGGACGAAGACAATGAAAAAGAGCAGGAAGGACAAGAAATACGAAATGGAAAAATAAACAGAAAGGGCTCTTGGTGGTAAGCCTTGTGCCGATCGATAAATATTGTATATATAGGGCCATTGTGTGCATGCGTGTGTGTTCTTACATTTGCGATAACGATTTCAAATTCGGCTTGAGCAAATGTGTGTGTGAAGTGTGACGGAAAAGCTGAAACTGGTCATTCTGATCAAGCCGCAGAGGGTCATAAATGTAAAGGAGATGTTTGCCGATAACAGCCAGAAACTGATTATTGAGGTTTGACTCAATAAGAGAAATAAACAGATTTTTGATGTATCACCAAGCAGCTGTTAACAGACAGATCTACAGGCATATAAAATGAAGATTTACGTACGAAACGTCGTCGTACGTTTTTAGTCAACGTCGAACGACTTACTCGTTCGAAATTATAGCAAAGTAAGCAGACGGCATAGGACACAGGTAGGTTCATTACAAACTGCGCGTAGAATGACAACAAGGGTAATTCCTGCAATGCATCCAGCAAGTATGCTCTGCAATTTGTACAATGTTAACACAGTGAGCGCAAGTGCGACCCCTAGACGAAGACTGATCACGGCTGCACGAAGGCGTGAGCAACTTCAGGTACCTTGAAATGTTTTGAGATTCAGAAAAAACCGGGATTGCCTTTAGAGCTAGCCAAACAGCATCGTGGGAAGGGACGAAAACGTTTTTTATGCGCAGTAGCCCATCAAGTAAATAGGAAAGTGATACATACTATATATAGTGATATAGAGGAACGTCTCTGTAGACACCAGGATCGCTGTCTGTGAAACCAACACTGCCACAAGATCGACATGTTATATAACTTTCTCGGTAGGAAAGTTCGAATGAAAGCTTCGCAGAACTAATCTGTGAGAGTAATACAAGTGTATTTTGGCTGAATTGGCCCTTCGTTGTTTAACGAAAAATTATGCCGAGACGCTCAAGCCGAAAATATCAGTTACTCGGCTCCTTCCTACTGGCGATACACTCAATTTGGTCCTTACCGCAGCACGAATAATAGGCTTTTAGTGCGGACAATTAGCAATGGGAAATCAATGGAATCAAGCCATTGCGAAGTGTCCTAATACTACAACGTGTTTTCATTGCTAAAGATCTCTTATATTCATTTGGTTTTCTCTGTTTGTCTGTCCTAAAGTTGTCGACGGACACCCATATCTATGTTACGCACTTGAACAATTCGGAACATCACTACCCCGTAAGCGGACCTCCCTTTTGATCGACACGGTTAGATCACGTTAAACCGTACATTCGTTGTGGAGGAGATATATCGGCCTTATTCAATAGCATCGACAATAAGGTATTGAACAACTAACGTTAAGTTGGCTAATTAACTTCATATAAAATGCCGCGCCATCTGAATCTATTCTGCTGATACGCCCAACTGACACAGCGGCCGCCTTCCAGTCGATACTGAGGGTCGACGCTGCGGTACCCTGTCAATGTAATAGCGTTTTTGGATACAGTAAGTAAAAGTTCATACGTTTTCGTTCGATTTCGCACAGCTCGATGTCGTATGAGGCTTACCAGTTGTCATCAAATAGAAAAAGACGGAGCGTTTATTGGCCTTTAAATAATAATCAAGCAGTTCTCTAGCTGTGTATGTCTCTGAAGTTCCCAAAAAGAAATGTCATTCAAGCAGAACTTAAGAACTTACCGTCCAACATACCTGTACGTATTCTCGAACAGTAACTCCAAAGAAATTCAAAGGGGACTTGTTTGATGCAGCTCAAACTCATTTGTAAGGCTCTATCGTAATTGTATATTCGCCGGTCTTACCTATAGTATATGTCGGCGTTTAGCATAAATATGTATCCGAACATTGTCTCTGAAAATCTCCGTCTGCAACGCTTTCTGCGCAGCAAGGATTATATGGTGGCTATTAAAAAAAGAAAAATTTTTTTCATCAGCGATTTTTTCGACCACAACTTCTTTCTTCATGGATCCTATTGTCACTGGGGAATCCCGCTTTCTATTTAGATCGCGAACTACGCAATGACCAATCGAACCGGCTTTAGTCAGGATACAAGCGGCCAACTAGCGAGTTGTTTGTTCTGAATAAACATAACACACGTTTACGCTCTCTCTTCCCTAAAAAAAGAACGCATCTGGAGCTGATTCCGTGACTAAGAGCATCTTTTGCCTAAAGGTTACCTTATGCCTAAAAAGTTACAATAGAAAGTAACAGGCGTTAGTTGATCGCGCATTCTTGAGTACGTTGACTATTTTTGTTTTTATCACGACAGCCACGGCAGCTGCTCTAACCGTAGGCAGTGTTCCCACCACCATATTGGTTAATTTCGAATAAAGCACATATTTACGATATTACGCAAGTTCTATGTGGAACGCCCAAACGCGCCAGGTAGACGTAGATTAATACGTCTATCTAGCGCGTTATATACGAACAGAATGGAACTTCCGCACCAGTTCTATGCCCAGGTCTTTTGTTTATTTATGAACGTTCGTTCGACAAAAGCTTAAAGGCTCTCCTAGTAATTTTTAATTTTGTGAATCGTAAAGAGATTGACGCTACCATCAACCAACAATCTTAATACGATTCATTAAAACGTATATCTGCCATTCAAATTGTCAGCTGCAGTGGCTGCGCGCATTTCAGCGGGATTCACTAATAGTTTTTTGCCAGATCTCTGTTGGGTATTGATTTATGTTTTAATAAAATCATCCAGATAATTACATAATCTTATAGTCGGCTTTTGCGATTATCTCTGGCTAGAAAGAGAAAAATATTTACATATCGTACGCGTCTGGGAACGTCCTTTCTGTAGTAGAATAGCTATTGTCCTTTGTGTTATTAGCAGCAAAACCTGCGGTGTCTCAATTATGAGGCGTGAAAATGTGTTTTTAATGTCCGACCCATGTTGCTGTAGTCGATGAACGTTAAGCTCCCAGTAGCAACGACGACTGGGAATTTGTCAAAACGCCAACGGCTATTTGTTGGTCGCTTGGCGCCTCCCTCAGACGAAACGTGCCTTTCCTACGGGAAGAAGCTCCCTTCCTTTCGCTGCTAGCTCTTCGCTGTCTGCCTATTACCCGGTCGACGCGGCCCTCGATTTTCGTCAGGTCTAAAGCTGTTAACATCGTTTTGCGCTGTCACGTCCTCGACCTCAGCAACTCTGAATCAGCTTCGGCAACAAAAGATTTTGGTTACCCGCCGAGTCTACGATCTCTTCAGTGGAGTCGCTATTTTTTTTTTGGATACGTTCGTCCAGTAGACTTTTTTGCCTTATTGCTTCACTCTGTCGCACGCAGCAACTTGTTCACTTAGCACTTACGTTCATACTGGGATACACGTTAGACAGGTATAATAATGGCATTATCACGCTGTTGATGTGGGTTCTGACGACGTCTTCCTGGCCCATTTTCGTAGGGTATGTGGTAGACCGAAGTAAAAGATCGTCAAATGAGCTGAAAATTGTATGGGTAGTTGATGATGTTCGGTTAGACGGCCGAGTATTTTAGGGGCATAAAGACTCGCGGTTTGGGAAGGCCTCTTGACAGGGCTGCCTGTCGAGCGTTGCCTGCCTCAGCAGGTGATGGAAGAACAGCATTTTGAGTAGACGCACACATACACACAAAACACACATAAATGTGTATATAAATCTTGTAAGATCGACGAAGTCGAAACATATTTACTATAAGCTAGCTAGTTGTTGGTGCGTTTATATATCTGCATCTATCTAATTGTTTGGTCGACGGGCAGAATCGTCAAGCTGCCCTTGCCGTATCGGCTCCAGACGGATGGACGCTGCAGAGTTCTGCTGTTATCTAGCAAAAGGTAAAGCGGCCTCGTTCCGGGGCTAGTGCAGCTCAACAAGCGATTGCCTTTGATGGTGCCAAGAGTTACCACCAAAAAAGTGATAGCACGATAAATGGCAACAAGCTAAACGGCAGCGCACGTAAGATCAAATTAACTGAATGGAGGGGACCCAGCGAACGAAGTGCGATAAAAAGAAGACAACTCTTGTCGTGGACGTTGCTCGCGCTTCTACTATAAATGGAGTCGACGTTCCTGCTGGTGACGATGGTGACGATAGTTTGATAACATCCAACCGTGAAGCAAGCGAATATATATGGTCAGCACTTCGATTAATACCGATAACAAAAAGACGCAGAAGGATGCCATGTGGCGAAGATGTTGACTATAATAAAATTAATGAAAGATAAAAATTAGATTTAAAACGACTAATCCGGTAGCTGATGTGCTGTTATTTTGAAGATTGGAGATACAACACTTTTTTTATCTTCTTCTTATTTATCTTTTCAACGATTAGTGAGAATTTACTACGCAGATATATTTATACACGTTGCAAGTTAACAACTCGAAAATATAGGTTCTTCTTTTGAAAGACGTTATCGAATAGGGTCCGCACCGGTTTGTGGTGGAAACACACAAAGGCGAAGCTGTAATTTAGGTGTGAATGTGTGAGTTTGGAGTCCAACAATGGCCATAATGAAAAACGTGCTATGCGAGTGTGATGGTGAGAGCTCACCTTGCTTATATGCCTGTTAAAGTTCGGTACGAAGTTTGTCTCTTCAGCGGCTGCCAGTTGTTCCATCGAACAGTATCATAAATAAGCAATCTTCAACAGAGGAAGCCCTCCGGTGGGCTGCAAGCAGTCATTAACAGCGCCAAAATGTAGAGTCTTAATGCAAGAATCGGTGGGCGACATGAACTTTCAAAATCATATCTATGCGCGACTAAACCATGTCGATTAGGTAGCTGGTGGCGACTAAATCCATGTTGTACTTCAAAGCGATATTTTCTCATGCGATGTTTCTCATCAAAAACGGACTGCTTCACCATTGTGCTGCTGCGAAAACCACAACCCTAAAGTAGCGTAATGGTAACAAAAACCCCATCTAACAACAGCCGATTGAATACGATGAGCCTTTAAATCATTCTAGTCCTATTCGAGCCAGTGTGCTTTGGCATTCTACAAGAGGTCTTATTCGAAATAGAGGACACCGAGTAGATAAACAAGCGATGGACTCACGTAAGCCACTGCACGCAGAATGATTTTGTACTAACACCTGTAACTCTGCGAATTCCTCCATGTTTATCTATTAGGATTACGGCTTAATCTGAAGCAGAAGACAAGGTTCACTTTACCTTTTTTAGGTTAGTTGATTTGTTTGAGCTTCGAATGCTCTGCTGGCTTTCAACGATGTCGGTCTACCAAATCATATGTGTTTGCGGATTCGTTCTAAGCCGAAAGCTTTACGTTGCAAGGCCATTGTTTTTGTTAGTTCGATAGGAACACAGATGGACAGCAGTGATCCGTTCGGCCTGCGATTATCCGCCACAACCCCCGATGGCTAAAGATTTTTATCTCAGCTGATTATCACCGCTTGAAATTTGATGATGATCGCTCGATTTTGATCTCGAGTAGAAAATAATCGGGATGATGTGAACAGCAATGGCTGATCCAAAATCATCGGGTGTTGTCGGCGTCTGCATACCTTCCCGCATTAAAATTCAGGCCAGATGGTTGCTTAATAATTGTGCTCAGATCAACGGTGACTATCCCTTAGTCCGCTATAAACAATTTTGAACTTTCGCGAAGAAACATTTACCTGCTTGTACATTTGGGACTCTTTAATAAAAGGCTCAACGTGCAATCATGAACACGTGATTAGGTATCGTGCTAAAATCTTCCACACCGGTTTACATTTCATTGTTCCTACTTTACATTGGAAGCTTCGGGATTTGATTTTCGAAGAGGCTGACTAAAGTCCCGGTGATTTATACGAGCAAAACGGAGCTTGCTCTATGGGGCGGATGCTAGAAAATTAAAATATCTTCAAAAAGGGCATTTTTGCATGAACTTCGATCTTCTATTTGTAGTAGCACACTAGTGTTAGATAAAGTTATCATTGGATTTCGTTACTGCGAATAACAACTTAGTAGGTCTGAACAAGAGAAGAGATCCGATTCGGGCGACGGGTGGCGTCTAACTCCACGTGAGCCTATTCGCAAATTTACAGTGTTTTATTTCGTCGAGTCAGGCAGAGATGGTAACTTTTCATCAGGCTTCAGCGAAGATCATGCTTCCTAGTGGCTAGCGGGTTTACAACCTGATGTTGATCTTGACTTGTGTGCGATACAGAATGTCCTGGAGGGTAAACAGCCCAGAAGAGCCAGTAAATTTAGACATGCCATGCAGTCATGGCGTAACCGTCTATAGCACTAGTGAGGGCTTCACACTGAGTTCTTATCATTTATTCTTTACTCTAAGCTTGTCACGAGACTCAGGAAACGCTGGGGCCAAGTTAACGCAATAGCAGACATACGAAATGTAGCCAATGCGGCTTCGCGCATAGAGCTTATCTACTTGTTACTGAATAGCAACCCTTTGCAGTCAATCATTTTATAAGCTAGATTACTTAAGGAGTTTTTTTTCACCCCGGAGTCACAGGTATCGGTCGTACTCGGCGAATAAATTGCGATTTGGCACTGTCGCCGATTGCTTCCTTTAACTAGATTGTTCCTAAGTATTGCCTCAGCAAATATTGAAGCACAGAAGGCGCATCGCTGAACCAAAATGTCTTGAACGCAATTGGCCAGCAAAATGATCCGCTTCTGAATAAGAGGCTTCCCAAGATGTTGCTGCGACATGGGCCCGTGATCGTGTTGTGGTAACGGGTAACTTGCTTAGATCGTAGTTCAGGTCCGAATCCGGGCGTGGATTTATGTACGAGACGTATAACTCCAAGCATTTATTTAGGTATTATTACGACATACATGGTCTTTAATCAATAGATATTTCTATGAAACTGAGTTTCGCAGGAACAGGGTTTTTACAACGAGACACCGACAACGACTCACGAATTGTACGTTACGTCGGTTATATATGGCGTTAAGCCTTTTAGTATATTCTAAGCAAACTCATTTTAGCCATAGTTCCGTTTGTGAAAAGATTGAGGCGAAGTACCCCCAGAAAATGGAGATAAATGTATATTCTTGCGTATCGAAATCGTCTATCAGCACGACAACACGGTCCTACACTACATCAGGCTTAAACATGACAGTCAAACTTTGGCGATTTTGGACATTGATCCGAAACGGATTCGTATCGGTGATGGAGACGAACTACATATCAGTCGCTGCACCCATAATAGCAGTGGCTACTTCCAGGACGAGGAGATATTCTCCATCATTTCAACGAATGACGAGGAGAAACGGCCTAAGGAACAGCGTACTATAAGGTAGGCCTGGGCCCTTTGTTCGTTTTCATATCGTAAGGGTCGTATCGAAAAGCCATACATTCTAATCTTTACATGTCATTTGTTAAAGGCTCATCATTGTCATATATAATCTTCCTTGGTTGAGTAAATTTTGCATACCTGTCTACAGAATATCTATGTCCTAAGCTAACCTCTGGGTGACATTGTCTACGTCTAATTATTATGATAATTATTTCTATATTTGTTAGTTTATGCCTTCCGTCTGACAGCCACTGATACTCATCATTTTCCCTACACATTATTTCGGTTCCATTGTTTCTTTGGGACTGCTATAATATATCTTTATGCGTATCACAAGCAACATAACTGTATGATTTGAGTCTATCTCTCACGAACAAGATGTGGTGCCCCTCGTAGCATTACATTACCAACATACACTACGACGCGAATAGTTGATCCACAGGGCAAGCGATATAAGAGAGTGTCCAATATGTTATTTATAGAACTACCTACATTTTTCCTAGTTTTCATATGGATATCGAAGGCAATAAGAGAAAAGCCTCCTTTAAGTTAGCCTTCCTTAAGTTAGTACTTATTAGCCTTCCATGTTGGCTTGAACTGCGCTGTTCGGTTTCACTCCTACAGCTGTGTGTTTTTTTAAATAAAGTTTCGCCACTATCGAATAGCAGAAATGAAGCGGGTATACGATCAATAGTAGTGTCGTTACTGCACAATGCTACAGAACGAAAAATAAACCGCACTTATTACACAGCCCTTGAGTCTATGAGTTTTATCTGCAAGTTGATAAATAAAACTTCCAACCGATGGTCCTCAGTTTGTCAATTACGCCGCTTTCTTCAAAGTGTAAGACAAGGGTACTATAAGAGGAGAAATTCTAAGAATAATGCGGTCCTTTCGAGACACGAATCGTCTAAAAACTCCACCTGTTGGTTAACTTATAACGGGATCTCTCAGTAGCTCCACATTCGATTAATACCCTCAGCGTGAACGATTAAACTAACCGTTCGAACTTTTAGGTTTTACGGCGATGAGATGTGGGACCTCTGTGTGAGATTCATTGGACGTATCAACAGGTTCTCTAAATCGGAATGGATCCTTCCCACTCAACTTGTAAGACTCGGTAACGACTCCCAACAGTTCCCTAAAGCCGATTAACTTCACTACACACTGTGGTATTAGTACTACGTGGACGACACCGCTATCGGCTCTTTCAAGTTCAAATACTTATCCACTTGATTAATTGTCTTTCATTTTGTTTCACTGCCAGATATATTTAATGATACTCGTTAATGATAAGCAGACTATAAAGATTTGCCGATTAGTACCAATTTTGCTTGGCGCTGAGTATGTTTTTTGTAGAGCAGACCAGATGCCGTTGAAGTCGACGTGTCTCCACCCTAGCGCACAGCAGCTTATCCTTACAATACTCAGTACGAATATAAAATAATCAATACACAAACACACGTATTTCAACTATGGCCTAAAAACGAATTTAAAAGACGCAATTCTCGGTAACAGATGTTTGTGACGGAACATCGGATACAATAATTGTTCCAAGGAGACCAGACCCACGAGCGTATCTCTTGCAGTGGCATGAGAACAAGGAGATCGTCAGCACAACGTCTAAATTTTACTGCCGCATTGACGTAGTAAGTTATACATACTTTGCAGGGATTTTTCTGCTAACTTTCAAAACAAACACAGATATATATATATATATATATATATATAGGATCGTTATTCAAATGGCAAACTGTAGTACGGTAATGCTAATTTTCGTATCGATAGGGGTTAAGAGAAAACCTTAGCGTCGAGCATTTGTTCATATACTGTCCTTGGAGTAATTACTATTGGAGAAATGGAAGGCTAATTCAATAGCACAGCTTTGAATTGGCGCAATGGGTCGTAAACTACGACGACAAAGAAAAAGTGGGAGTGTTATCTATTATATGGGTTCGGGAGTAGCGTTATAGTTTCATGAAAGCTCGCAGGACATGGAAACGCGGTGAGCGTGAACATCAACCGTAAGGCCAGAAAGTTCCGCAACAGAAAGTACGAGATAAACTAAATTCTGGCAAGCCGTCTGTTGTTGATAATCCATAAATGGAAGCCGACGCAATAGAGCCCCTGGCTGCATCTTGGAAAATTCTGTCTGTTAGTAACTGTGTTATGTAAGACACCTGCTGAACTTACCTGATCCCCGCACGTGTTAATCCACCGTCAGATTTTGCTAAACAATGATTAGTTACGCTTGAATGTTGTTTTATTATGATTATTTAATAGCGCCATAATCGACTCCTGCGTGTTCCTCTCTAACGGAACAACGCGCAAGAACTAACCGCTCAAAATCTGTTTGTTTTCAACAATAGCGTCTAGTAATACGTTATAACGCCCTTCAAGTCACGGGAAGTAACCCTTTTGCTTATACCACAAAATTTCCGTTAGTCCCAAACCACAACTGCCCATTTTTTCAAATCTATATCCTATGATATTCAGATGAATATATCATCGTCCGAAGGAGACTGGTTCCAGCTGGGCACATCAAACGACCTGAATACGAAGAGCAATACCATTTCACTCTCTGGCACGATGGGACCGGAAAATCAACAAACTGTATGTATTTAGAAACATTCTTTTTTTAACGTGAAATATATGTTCTTCTGTCTGAGTCCGCATTCTTATCCAGAACCAATTCAATATTCAGATGAATTGAATCCGATAAAAATGAGATTCTCAGACTAGCGCTATGAAGTCGCCTAAAAGCTGGAGGTTATGCCAAAAAGCGCCTACTTCATATGATCCGATTAGCCCGATAACATTGTTCCTTACCGAGTCAAAAAAACAACATGGGCGGTGATGCATCTCCGAGCCTAGAACCAGAAACTGGTAGACGTTTATAGTAAAATCAAGAGAAATGAATTTCAGTCACTCCTGAACTTGCAATTTAACTATGTTTTACTTTTCACATTGTGTATTTAATATATTCGTATCAGATCTATTCATAGCCGTATACGAATACGTAGAGAGTGTGCATGGCACACGTTACTGGTCGGATCTGCTCCGACGCATTGCATCGTCCATACGAATGTTGTTACAGTGACCGCCATTAATGTAGGACCAGCTGTCGTAAGCAGCAGAAAATACACTGCGACAAAGTAAATCAGAGAAAATTGCTCGAGGTGCCGCTTTGTTATCCCTGTTAAACGTGTGCCGCATCAGCTCAGCAAGTATTTGGTCGTACCGGACCGAGATGTCTTATCTTCTCAAAACAAAATCTTTGACAGATTATCGCCGCACGATGAAACGTTTAGAACCAGTAACAATAGCTAGCAGATAGCTAATTGCGCAACCAGATTCAAAATATAATGGCCAGCTTCCAGGCTTAAAGAAGAAGCTTAATAATAACAACAACGAAGTTCTTAACTATCCGCAGGACCATAGCTCCTACGACCATCATTCATTTGCACCTTTATCGGGTACATATACAAGTTGACTGTACAATAATAAAACACTTATTATCTGGAGAAAATATCTATGAGGGTAATAATATAGTCTCTGATCGCAATTCTGTAAAGCACAACTCATTTATGCTACTAATCTGCTATATATCTATCAATATTTCGCCTGCATTTTATCGAAAGTTTATCTAAATATTACAGATATGGCTGAAAGGTACTACTATGACGATACTGGTGACGCAACGTTTGAAATGGAACAGTCAGGCGTTTACGCCAAACGCGTCCGAGGAAACTGATTACTGTAGTATTACCTCTCAGCTTGAAACACAAGAGCAAGCCGTCAACATTACATGCACTCAAAAAGGCGAAAAAGTACACATTGAACCTGCTAAGGAGTTTTGGAAAGAAGCTGCGGTTTTCTGCGTCACCGTCGATTACGGTAAATTGGCACACAACAGTTCATAGTGAACAGTAACTTCAGACGTAACTAGAGAGGATAAATGGCGAACGTGCTTATTTTTTAGCGTTCCCCAATGAGCGGCCGTGCCATAAACAACCGACGTTCGGGTGGCAGCTATTAGTAGAAAATGGCCATGTGATCCCTACAAGTGCTCACCAGATCCGGATAACCTGAGATTTTATGTTAGCCTATCTACGCTAACTGCAAATGATCCAGCAGAAATCTTCGTCTCGTTTCGCACAAATAAACGGATCTGATAATAGCGCTGTAATGGCGGGAATTTTCGAGACCAAAATGCTTTATGCCGTGAGCATAGCAGGAGAAGCTTTGTACGAGATTGTTATCAGAGGGATATCAGAGCAGAGCAACCACTCTGCTCTGGTCGCTCTAAAGCGTTCTGCTATTGTAGAGTCTTTGCTAGCTAAAAATTGGTTACCTTCGCGAACGGTCCGCATGATCCCATTGGACCAGCCAAACAATCAACTAGCAGATCAGTGTAGCTTTCAACACCCGAAAGAGGGCCTCAACTTATGATTTACTTAAAAATAGTATTCCTTTTCGCGACGAAGCTGTTTAATTAAAATTTCGACTTTTATACAGGCCAACACCCCGAAGCGCCTCGATCAGGGGGCCAAGCCCAGCGGGCACGTCCCGTACCATAACAAAGTAATAATTTTATAATTATAAATAATGGTCTGCTTTAGAAAATTGGCCGATCGAAAAGTACGATGACTATAAATTGAAACGACGCCGATCTGATAACACCGCGATGCTGCCTCTGATAGGGACTAGAGACGAATCGCTTGTCGCACAAATTGAAGTCAGACAAGTGCACAATCATTGCTACCTTTGATATACGATCATCGATAAATGAGCCCCACAGCAAAAAAAATGACCATCCTATTGATTATGGACTAAGTTAAGAATCGTTAGATCATTTGTCTGCATTCTAAGTTTATGTTACGTTAGATTCACATGAGTATGACGGGTCTAATATAGCCTGAGTGTTAATACTGAGAAAACGAAAACCTCTCTTCGACAGATGAACGACGATGCTTCACTGGCTAGAAACCTAACTTGAAACGTACGAATTGTTCACTAACTGATCTAACTTCGAGCCACAAACGAAAACTATTACCAATAATAACAGGTTTGTTGTCCGGTTTTTAATAGCGTACCTGCACGATGAGTGTGTAGCTGGCGAACAATACAATAGAAACAGTCTGCAGCCCGTCGAAAGGTGGACAGATGTAAAAAGGTGTTTGCAGGACGTGTTCTTCATCAGGGCGAGCAATAAATCCAGTATTGCAAGGTTGTATTAGTGTAGTCGCCTTTCTATTAAGTTAGTCATTTCAGAGCGGAACGGCTCGGAACAGAAGATCGATAACCGCGGAAGTACTTCAAATATTTTGTTACTTCTGATTTTTCGTTTCGGTCTTTGCGCCTTACCTTACAATAACAAATCGGAAGAAAATCGATAAAGCTTATGAGTCATAATCGGTAGTATTGCAACTGTTCTTATGAAAAATATGGTTCGTGTAATTCAACGGTTTTTCGCGTCCGATCAAGCAAGTTTAAAAGAGTCTAATGACGATTTACATTAAATATATTATTGAGATTACATATTAAAAAAACATTTGCTGCAATAATATATTTTTACATGGCGTACTTGGATAATAATGTAAACAAAATATCAGGCTAGGCGAACGGCACCTAGGGTCAATTTTAGATATTTCGATAATTAGTAATAGTTAAGCAAGAGTGGCTGTGAGGTATAGCAACTTAAGAATAGAATTAGTTTATGATAAATTTTACTACAGGTATCCATAACAAAACCTAATTTTTTATCCAAAAGTCATGAACTCATGCAGCGTCTTCTGCTTTTTAAATTAGCGTGCGCAGCAAATTCGTATACTGTCGAAAAGGACGTAATGCCTATCTCTGACTGCATGGAATATCAGCCGGTGCATAAAAACTTGTTCTCGTTTTGTGTAGACTAGAAAGCCCACTACAGGTGAGATTTCCTGACGACAACCCCGTGGTCTTTTACAATGACGATGTGATCAAGGTCCGCTTACTGATTGCCGTGATCGATCATCCTTCACGTGTAGACGGAACTGCGCTCGTGAACAAAAGCTTCATTGTTGACATTCTAGAACAACTCAACGATGAAGACTTTCGCTCCGTTTGCAACATTCGCAACGTCTCCAAGTTACCGTTCAAGGTATGTGGTCTCCTCGCGCAATAGTACGCTTGTACATTTACAAGTAAATTAAAGGACAAAGGAGAGGAGCTGCCTAGCTTCATTGTAGGACGTTGCTCGTCCTAATATTCAATGTTGTACAATGAAAATAGGTAGGTTGAAACAATGCTAGCTTGCCAGGGCTGCGATCGAGCGATTCTGTGACGCCGAGATCATGCAGCCGATCCACAAATCAGCACAGTGTCAACAAGCTGCATGAAGCGGCTGCGAAAGAGCTTTTAACGGTCTGTACGCGTGCTCGCAGTGAGCGTATAAGCAAATGATTCATTATCACACCTGGTTTGTCATTTTTGTAGCCCGTGCTCTAGCCGTTACGCTCAAATTCGAATGTAGGTTACCGCGTGCCATTAAGCTTAGCAGGAAAACACGTTACCACTGCATTATCGCGAGTACCGTGATCGATCATTATAACAAAAAAAAAAGCAATTATTAAAAGATTTTTATCGTTCGAACCGAAAATAAAAATCAAAATCTTCTGACCAAACACTTGCACGGGCCTGAGACAACAGAGTTGCGAGTCTTATCTTAACAACGATATGATTGTGCAAACCCTATATTATGTCTACCTAAAGAGCGCTTGTTGCTATTTTCATGTTTGATCTTTTTGGTCTTTTTTTACTGTGGTTCCGTTGCAGCTGACGGACTGTTCTAATGACATACCTCTTCTACGCAACCTTCTGTTTTACGTACTAATGATAATGTCGTTTTCGATATTATTTCTCGTCGTTTGGAAATACCAAGTCAACAGTGACCTGAAGCGGAGGTAAAATGGTTTGTTTTGCTGTTCGGTAGAAAGAATTATTGAACTATTTTCAAGAAAATCAGTTAAAAAGGGCCGTGCAAATAGTCCGAACGCAAAATTCGCTTTGGAAGCGTTTAAGATAAGCTGAAATTTCGCCGATTTGTTACTCATTGAGACCCAAATTCATGCTAAAGCGGAGGGTTCATTCGCGCGTCAAAATTAAACTACGTAAATCAGATGTCGCTCTATATGTTTATGTATGAAACTGTACTTTCTAAAATTCTAATGTTACTGTTCATTCGCGCTCCTTATAAGAGTCATACTGTCCTCTGGCTTCCGCAGGAAACGGAAACCGTCCGAAGTAGCACCGAAAAATGTCAATACAGGACAATATATGATTAATAAAGGCTTCGTTTCAACCGAGAATGTAAGAACATCCGCTGATGTCGCACCTCAATCCGGCGGCACAACGTTGTGTGAGTTAGTCCGTTGATCGCAAACCGTTTCATAGTATACTAAGTTTCAATAAATTTCAATAGACGATTGCGGTTATCTAAGAAGAAATAACAGAAATTTACTTTCGCAGTGGCTGTTCCGTCCTCACAAACGGGTACTTGTCGTCTACCACTTGAAGTTCCTGGCGGTTTAGGGACCGAATCAAGGAAAAATCACTTCAAAATCGAAGCTGTTCGAAGCGTCGAAAACTATAAGAAAACGTCGCCCGCTAGATAGGCTTCAGAACACATTCTTCCGTATCGTCTGATGCAGAACCCAGTGGGCCGTTTTTAAGCACTTCGCCTCAGAGGACGGTCCCGTTATACTGCTTACTTAGAGTAGTATCAACGAACGTCTTAAACTTAGCCTTCGAATGCTTATATCCTAAAAAGGTAGAGCCTCCAATAAATAGCAGTAACTGGTGGCAGGTAGTAAATGAGGTCTTTTGCTCATTTCACACTTACCCTCGACTACTCTATTGTGGAAAGAAGGTCATTCATTAATAAGCATTCGGTTTGCTTTTTAAACAGCGTAGCTATACTGCGAAAAAAGAAGGTTTTGCCACGATTCTGTATCTCAGATTGATTCACCGTGGACTCCTCGGTAGATGCTTTCCCACAAAATGCTAGTGCCGAGAGAGACGCAACGGGGAAAACTCTATCGATTATACCGTTCCGCGTTTGTACCGAACTCGGAATAGTTCGAGCCATTAGATTCGCTTTAAGATCCTTCTGTTTGAAGAAACGGTATCAACACATCAGTTCTCCATTATGAATTTAACGTTCCTCTGCCAAGCACAATTTGTTTGTAAGTTATGGTACAGACAATTCGCATCATCGACATCTTTTCTAACCAAATAGAAGTCGGGTTCTAGAAAACGGTTTGCCGGACAACGAAGTGTGTCGATAGGCTACTTGCTCTTCATACTATGTTGCAAGCTGTGAAAAGTGCCATCAAAAAGTCTTCTTCGACGAGTTAGGCTTAAGGTCTCGAGCTGTCAACATCACCTCCATTCAGTTGGCCCTATTGATCCCAAGCTCCTTATCGGTTCATGGCGTCGCGTTAGCAAAAGTGAGCCGATAAAGAAAAAAAAACGCAACATAGTTACAAATAACAAAGCTGTAGATCTGACAGAGGAAGACGAGAGGAAGTTGGTTGTGTAGTTAGTTTATTCTAGAAAAGGGCTCGGCTGGCCAACGTTGTGCCGAGTCATCTGTTGCAGGGAATTCGAAGTTGTAGTGACGATTTATCAGCAAGCGTTCGCTAGAAACGCATACGCCATAGGTACAAACAAAAGATGCTTGCGGTTTACCATGAACGATAATTCTAGCGTTGAGAATGCGTTAACACTTACACCTATTGATGTGCTTCTCTCAGAGCGCATTTGAAAGCTGAATTCAACATATCGTAAAAGTTCTTAACGGCCGACGACATGTTGTCCATTGACTATAAGACTGAAAGAGCGTGGCGAGCCATTGCTTAATCGAACGACGATAATGGCAAACACAAGGGTCGGCCATTGTTATCGTGAACAATGTACACTCCCAGGTTCTCAACAGAAATCAGGATAAGCTGGACCAGCGTATGGCAAACGTGAGCCATTCTTACATTCTTGAGCTATTCTCGGACTACTCCGTTAAACGACTTCAAGCCACGGACGTTAACCTCAATCACAATAAAAAAAAAACATTTATTCCGGGGTGCTAGACCTGAATCGGGAATACATATACACAAATGGATATTCCAGCACGTCAAGTGTTTCGTATTTCTTGACGGAGAAAAGTCTAACTGATTTTTTCAGCCGCAAATATTTCAGCACTTGTTAGCTCAAGAAGCTTAACATGATCATAATAGAATTTACTATTTCCGTAGTAACTAACTGGAAGGTTTTAAAAGTTGAGAATCGATATTCACTGACATAAAAGTTGAGGAAAGAAAATCTCGAAAGCGTTAAAGCGTTTGTCGGAGTGACGATCCAAAAACATGGGAAATGAAGCAACACCATCCACGCTTAACGAAAGAAGATTCAAAATCGAATTAACGCAGAATTACGCAGTAAAGGACCTCGCAGCTGTTTAATGGTTTGTGAGCTATAGTGCAATTTCTCGTAAGGCTTGACAGAAACAAAACATCCTTAGTAGTACACTACAAATATGATGCAGGAGATGATATACCGTGTGCCGGGCCACATGTCGTAGCAGAAAGTTTGCGTTGTTACAAGAGTTTTTCGAAATAGTTCAAAAACTGTTCGTACAGTATTTCGGCTTATTTGACGGTAGCGACTACACCGCTGATGCATTGTCCTTCGTGAAAAAGTTGTAGTATACGGCAACCAGCGCCACAAATATGATACGAAAAAATATTGTCGTCACCCGTTTTTGAAAAAAAAAAAAGATCTTTCAACTACTACCAGCTGCAACGCTAATGATGAAGGTTTCCTTGAAACCTAGTTAAATCAAAGCTGACTGTAGTTGACAGTAGCATTTAAGCTGACGAAGTTCGAAATTTCCCTTATATATATATCTTTTATTTGTATATCTAAACAGGACGTTCCTGTACTTGTTAATTAACGAGTCGATAGTATTTCATCTGATAGTATGTGACTCAATAGGTTTCGTTCTCAAGGGCTATCTTTATAGTTAGCCGATATCAGTATAGATGATGGTAATCAAGTGTAGTGTTATTGTTATTATTATCGTCATCAACAAGATTGCTTCCATTTAAATAAGGCTCCTTTCAGTCACGCACCTCGTAGGGTGCCAGTATGAAATTCGTTACTACAATTGCTTTTACGCTCGAATTTCGTATGTTTTTTCCGTCTACGATGAACATTGAAAGGACGACGTGGCATACGTTTGTTTCTGCAATCTGACTGTGTCTGTATGTATTGCCACGTTGGCAAAAGGCGGACAGAAACGTTCACAATGAGAAAAAGAGTTACTCTCCAAGGTCAAGGGAATGTAACATACGGCAGTAAAATAAACGACTCTTAAATCTCTCATTAACATTTGAAATGAATTGTCACACGCATTGTTGTTGCAATTCACAGGATTATTGAATTCTCCATTGTCGGAAAAAATAGTGATGAGTAACGATGCCAACACGGAGAAGGTCGTCACTGCCCTACTGCCAGAAATGACAGCAAATTGAGAGCCCGGGGGCAAATACAAGGGGGCATTTTGAGTGTTGAAGCAACTAGTGTAAGGCTATTGCTATAGTGTAGGTGGTTCTTTGCGTGACATGACGTGGAGGTTTTTGCATTACCAAATTTGTTTGCCGTTTTTTTCTATTTGTATTCTCTCTCGCTTTGAGTCCAATTATCCCTGCCGTAGTCTGTGCAGATTAACTGTTCACAGTGTTGTTCTTCACTGTCAGGGGCAGTCACAAAGAAGGGCAATGCAACGTATTGATCAGATTGTTACGAAGTATGTTCGATATAGTTGGGGGCTAGTCGTTCCCTCTGGTATTTTTTTGTGAACGTGTTATATGCACAGGCAAATTTTCACAGACATACAAACATTCAAATAGAAACAATCAATATTCGCGCATGCCTTCTGAATCCTTCGCCAAAAAGTAAAAAATCTATTCCTTGCTTTACTCTCTCTCTCTCTCTCTCTCTCTCTATATATATATATATATATATATATATATATATATATATATATAATACCATTGCACATCTAGATGGATAAAACCGTAATATGTATGCCAGTGAACCAATCGTTTCTGCTGTTCTCTGTTTAGTCACGCATTATATAAACCTAATGGAAACCCTTGCTATTTAATCTATAAATGAAAATGAGCTTCTATCTTTTCCAACTGCAGAGTGCGTCGTTTATTCGTTCGTTTGCTGTGCGTTTACAACGACGACGACGACGACGACGCCTTTAACATAAACGGATAGAAGGCGACAAAAAACGGAACACTAGCCCCTTTCTATCCTAAAGTACAATGCATCTTAGGCCAGATTAATCGGCGAAAGGCAATATAAGGCGCTCGTTGGACAATAGTCTACTTTAAACGTTCCACGAAGAAGTAAGTTATCTACCCAACAAAATAATATAGGATATTGAAACACATTGTGAAGATATAAGGAACGCTTTACTCCTCTGCTTCGAGTTTCACGTTCGGTATCGCCGTCAGGCATTCTGTCAGACAGACGGCTGGCTCCTAGTATAGCGAAGTGTCTATGCTGGGTTCGAACATGGATCACAACGTATCCCGAATATAATGTTAGCAGGCAAGTACGTTACCCCCTAAATTATTACGGGGTAAATGTCTACTTTGCCTTATGAAGAATATCGCGACTTAGAACGAGAACGATGGAGCGACTCCCGAACGCCTCCGAAAATACCCAAGTGAGCAGGGTAATCGCATGACTAAGGTTGGACGCGACTATTTTCTGCAGCTAGCCTCTGACTTCGTGAAGCAACTCCGAAGTAAACAGACCAATCTGTATCCTTCCTTCGCGTCGGTCTATTTGCCTGAGCCGTCGACATCATTTGTTCGAATATGTACGCCCAAATGAAGCATTGACAATTCCGTCGAGCTATGACCTCTAATTAATTATAACTGCAAAATAATTTCGAGTTTATAAATTTATGAACGAGATGTACTTTATCAAAAATATTAATTTGTACGTGACAAAACCCAACTTTTTTAACGGGGTAACAAATGTAGCCAAAAATGTGCTGTGTTTAGAGGATGTCGTCATCCACGTGAAGTTCAGTGAATGGTTCGCTCAGAGGCTCGTCCAGTGGATCGTGGAGGGGAGCTAAAGGAACACCAAAAAAATAGTAGGGTTTGTGCTTATTGACAAGATGAGCACGTAGAGACTGAGAGGCTTTGATGAGAAGATTTTGACATCAGATTTATAATCAATTAAACAAAAGACAAGGAGACATCGGAATCATCGAGTGCATCAACTAAGCACATAGATGATCGTATCATAAACTGTCTGACTTGTTATCTTAAAAGAGATTAGCGACATTCGTAGACTTCATCAAACCATTTAGAGGGCCTTACAAATGGTAAGGCCTGCTACAATTTTAGGCCCGTTACCAAGTGGGCCAAGGCGAGTTCCTTACCTTGGAGCACGTGCCTCATGTCTCCTACCACTTCACTGTCGAAAAATAATTTCAGAAAGTTGAACCTCCCATAACTGATTAAAGGTATAAGGACGTTAATGAAGAAGTACTAAATGCTCGAATGGAATTCAAAATGTAAACGGGAAAATATCAAGCTCATTCATCCATTTGACATTCGAGCACCTTTGTGACAAGTTTTGCACAAGCTGCAATAAAATTATCGTGTTTAATATAATTTGGTTTTGCCTAAAGTTGGGTCAAATTTTATCACCTGCAGACGGCTGTACACAAGAATAACCGCATTCGCTAGCCAACGATTCCACAAGTAATGGATATGTAGAGTACGCGCACTCGTCATTACAAAATATGGCAAAGCGCATTTGTCCATGAAGATAAGATTTGTTTGAAATGTTCTCATTTAAAAGTTTTTATTTTTAAAATTGAAAAATCTTAAAATAATGTTTTTGATAAAATAAAGAAAAAATGATTAAACATTTCTTTAAAAAAAATTCTTATAATATAAAGCTAGTAGTGTTTTACTAATAAATTATTAACATCCACGAACCGTACATCCGAAACGGTAATATAATCTACTTTTTCACATCTTGGCATAGTACATTGGAGTGCAAAGAACAACTCTTATAAGTTTAAAAATTGACAAAGATTGGAAGTAGTTTGAAAGGAATCAGTATCGATGTTATTCTGACAGATTCTTTGAATGCGTCCTCTCAGAATTATAATATAGAATCTGAATTAATCTTTAATATAATGTATTTAAGGAAAATAGCTGCTGTTCATAATATAGTAGATCAAGCTTGGACACATCATCAAAATTTAGCGATTCTTTTTTTAAGAAAGTTGGCTCAATCGGTGCTGAGTACATAATAGAGGCTAAAAAACACTTTCTAATGGAACGAATTTTTGTGAGCCCAGATATAACACGCATTTTCGCTTAAAAGAGGCTGCATAAAAAAAACTTATAACTGTTTTTCATTTCTTCAAGCAGAACTTGTGCAGCATGATTTCACAATAGAGGTGTTTCCTCTGTGGTTCGTCTTACAAAATTTTTGCCGAAAATTGTCGTCTAGCACAAGGGGTACAGTGAATGTTTTGTAAATGCCGGGTCGCCCGCCTCCGCAAAGAGGTAAACAAACAATACATTCATTCATTTGATCACTCAGTCCGTTCTTGCCATTAAGACATTGCAAAGGAGGGGAGGTTCTTTCTGACAGCTTGTATAGCCAAGTTTCCTGTCGCGAGTGAAGCTCCCCGCGAACCAGAAATTTTAGAGGTAAGATAATTACAGAAAATGCGCGTGAAATAAAATTGAGTACAGGGCTGTACATTGAAACTAAGGCCCTAATCAACCTGCTCACGTTAAGTACAGAGTAACTGAATTGGTGAATATGATTATTATATTAGTTGACAATTTATTTAAATATGAGAATTAGAAGTCTTGTAAACAAACTAAAAAAGGCCAAAGTTGTGTGTATCCCTGGTTTTATTTTCTGTTTAGTCGTAACTATGCATGGTTGCCTAGTGACTGAATTGCCTAAGACATCTCTAGTTCGATGTAAAATGAGCTCACGGCAATTCCGGTAATAAGTTTGTATTATGCAATGACGAGCGTCGCTAATTATGAGCTTTCCAAAAAAACTAAATATAAACGGGGAGCCAGTGTACAACAGAATAACCTATGAATAATGTGTGATAATTCTTAGGTCGGTACACCGGTGAGACAAACAAGGCTTTTGGCTTTAAAAAGTGAATTCTTTAGTTTAAGTCTGCTGCTGCGAAAGAGCCCTAAGCCTCTTTTTGTGTTTCTTGTATTTGTGTTAAAATGTAGTATTAAGAAGTGGTGGAGCTCGGTCCTAGTTACCGCTCGAGGTTACGTACGGTGTTAAATCCATCTAAAACTAGTAATCTCCACCACACGTCTAAATATCTTTTGATTTGTGATATTGCCGCTCGCTTGCGTTCTATGGACATGTCGTCGGTTTACTAACTAATGTCTTTGCTTTCCGATCTTTAGATGATCCGCTTTATCCTCATTCAGAACCGCGCAGGCAAAACTCGTTTAGCAAAATGGTATATGAATTTTGATGATGATGAAAAGCAGAAGCTCATCGAAGAGGTCCACGCTGTCGTAACCGTTCGCGACGCAAAACATACGAACTTCGTCGAGTTTCGGAACTTTAAGATCGTTTACAGGTGTGAACCCCCAACTTTGGTGTAACAATCATAAATACAAAAAAATATCAATACAGGGTGTTCCAAACAAATGTATGGAGCTATTGGAAGAACCTGTTTTATGCATTTTGGAAGACTTTCGTGAAGGTGGCACATTTTATTCCTGCCAAGATGGAGCATATCTTATATATTATCCAACCAAATAAATGTATCGGACGAAAAAGCTCCATAGAATATCATGCCCGTTTCCTACACCTGACGTCAATGAAATTTTTATGTGCGGGTACTTTATATATAGTCTACGCCGAAAAACCAAAGATATTAGAAAATTTAAAAGTAGATTTTAAGTCAGAATGCGTTACAACATCAAATAAAGTGATTATTGAGATTTTGAAATTAATAGGTCGCTGTTATCAACAAGTATCTAGCAAAACTGTGTTAATTTTAGACTTTTACGATAGGAGGAAAAGCTATACATTTTATATAGACTGTTTTGTAGTTTATGTATTTTTACATTATATATAAAACTGAAGTTCTATCGTTCAAACTTTATGTTCATTTCTCTTTTCTGTGCCTTTTTTGTATATATATATATATATATATATATATATATATATGTGTATATATATATATACATATATATATACACATGTGTATATATATATATGTATATATAAGACGGTGAAATTAAACCAAGGGTACAGCGTATCCGATTTTTGTTTGAACTATTATTATAATTATATACATAATATGCCCATGTTTGCATTCTATTGCGGAGTTCGATTCAACGGTACTTGGTTTTTCTAGTCAAAAACTTACGTCCAAACCAGACTGACAACCTTTTAGTTCATACCTGTCGCATTGAAAACGTCTTTCTAGACAAACATGTTTGGCTTATAATTTTCGCGTTTGCCGACTTAAATGTATTGCAGACGGTACGCGGGTCTATATTTCTGTATTTGCGTCGACGTAAACGATAATAACCTAGCGTACCTCGAAGCGATCCATAACTTTGTTGAAGTCCTCAATGAGTACTTCCACAATGTGTGCGAGCTAGATCTCGTCTTCAATTTTTACAAGGTGAGAGCCAACTACTTACAAGCTTTAATATGATTAAGTATGTATATATATATATATATGTACATATATCGTTGCACCAAACTGCTACACTTAAGCCTAATACGGAAATATGCATGAGTTAGCCAACAAGCCCAAGGTTCCTTCACATTCTACGTAGACAAAATATCACCGCAAAAATCTATGCGTTTAGTTTTTTTAATCTTTGTATTCAATGTTCCGCACAAAACCGTCACATTTTATTTGTATCGCATTGACATATAAATCAATGCATCGACACCAATACGTAATAATGACTAATAAGTTTTTATGCTTTTATTTATTTTGTCATACGGTACAGGTGTATAGCGTTGTTGACGAGATGTTCCTTGCTGGCGAAATACGGGAAACGAGTCAGACCAAAGTTCTTAAACAGTTGCTCGTGTACAATTCTCTTGAGTAAAGTTAACCCAACCCCCTTTATCTAATAATGGATGGTCGAAATGGCCCGATACTCATTACGCAACGTCGTTGACGACGAGCCTACAAATGTTGCTCCTCATTATCAGCTAAGTACCAACTCACATCGGCCTCACTGGCATACGACTGCTCCGCTGTACCCACAGCACCCGCAGCCCTGCATACAAACCGGAAACGAGATCGTCGTGGTTGTCCATTCCAGTATCTTCGGATCTCAGCAAGTGCATTTGATTTTATTCAAAACGTCTCACAGCGCCCGCCACGTACTTCCAAAATTATCGTACATATCCAGATGCGATGGAAAAGCGCACCGATTGCTATGATATGCCGAAGTATCGAGTGGTTAAACTGATATTATCATATATAAAGTAATATTGATTATGACGCAATAAACCCGCGAGGGCTTTGCGCATTGAGTATCGCGTTGTACGTTTCTACAAACCACAGATCAAAAGTTACGGCATGCAACGACCCTACACCGGTCTGTTAATCGCTTGATAAAATTTTGTTTTGTTTACCTAAATTGTAATCGTAGATCATAAAATAGAATCGATTTTTTTTCTCTTTTTCATTCTTTATCTTGAAACAAAAGAGGAATAATCAGAAAAAATTTAGCTTTACCCGGAAAAAACGAACGATGCATAGCTTGTACGTTACATAGATCAACAAAAATAGCCGGCCCAACAGAAAAAAAGTAAATTTTCAAGACAACAAGAGCACTCAGCAGTGTGGCAGAGATCATTTGGATTTTTCTGATGGCAGACTTGACGGAAGGTAGAATGGAAGTAATGATTATATCATTTACATACACCATTATATATATTCTTACCTATGGGCGGTGTTCAGAGTCAAGATGAGATTGGTTGTAACAAAACCAGAAGTATATTTTGTTAGAGAGTACTTGGAGCAGGCACCATAAAAGCTCCTCAAATAAGGTCGGATGTTCTCAAGAAGTTGGCGCAACTGAGCGAAGGAGGTCGGAACGTAGACACATCTGGTAGATTAAGGCGATACATAGCGGATACATCGAATTGGGCTTTTGGTTGATAATCCAATTGAATGAGCTCTGAAGGGTTCGAAATAGTGAAAATGAGTGGAAATTCTAAGTTCTAAACATGAGGATGCCGGTGATGATTATCAAAAGCGAGTTTCATGTAAGTTGTATATTTTCTATGTGCTATGCAAATGTAAACTACATGAATAACTGGGCTCTATCATATAAGCTACGAAAAGTTTCGTTAAATTTGACGTGCAGCATTTAATAAGTTGACAATTAATACAGACATATTGAACACTTCTAAGTAAACACGATGTATCTTTGATCTACAAAAAGAGTAGAGTATGCGTTTAGTAAGCATAAAAACAATCGTGTAGAAAGATGGCAATTTAACTGTCTATTCTATACTAAATAAAGAGTGTCAAAATTGAGTTAGACCCGATTTTGCGCGGTTTTTATCTCAAAAAGGTTTCTGTTGGCTTTAAAGCAAAGTTGTATTCTAGTTTACCTGGGTAAATTGCATTATTTAACATTATTTGGAGTTTATTTGGACAACATTTCATTAAAGTTCAGTAAGAATAATACTGCAAGCAAACTTTTGCCATATGATACTCTTCACGAAGAATATTATACTGGAGAAACGCGTTGCTTAAAACATCTTTCGTCGGAGCCAATGGGTTGTTGCGCTTAAAACAATCAGATGTTTATCACATGCACCTACGCTGTATCCAGTGGAACTAATTATGTAAAAACACACTAACATAATTTTACATGTCCTGTTATTTGGAATATAAACATATTTGAGCGACTTTCTAACTAAACTAACAAGTTCTTAATTTAAAATCAAAACAGTATTTTTATCCTTATTTTTAAATAAACATAGTGTTTAAATTCATCTGTCAAATCGGGCTAAAACTCTTGTTATATCTAACATTGTTTCATGTTAGATCTAACAACTGTTGAGATTCTGAAACTGAACGTTTTCTGCTTGGTCACTTGTATCGCTTTAAGCTGAGTTTTACGAAAATCGAGACTCGATCTATTTCGATGAGCGCTAATCATACTTAAATCGTCATAATAGATACTGTAGTAACAGTAGTTATTGCTATTGTTATTATTATCATCATCACACAGAACATTCAATTATATAGGAGTATCTCTTTAAATCTTGTACTATAACGATACCAGCCATGACGATACTGATGTTTAATAATCAGCTGCATAACAACATCTAGACAGGTGGAACGTATTCCACGCTATTAAAAGCGATATGAAAAACAGGGCGGTCATTAACAAAATGCTTCTTTATACTGTGTTTCGTTTGTGATAAATAATTTTTCAAAAAGCCCTGTGTACAAAAAACGATACGCTGTCGAAGTTCCATGGTCATCATTGGATATACAGCAAGAGTTGGGGTACGCTTGAAAGAACACGTCTTGAAATCCGCTCGTCAGTGTTTTTAGGCTGCCGTTACAAGAAAGGATACAATTAAAATGGAGGACGCCATTGTTCTGCAAATCTGGTTACATTGCTCAACTCGAAAATCATTAGCATTGTATAGAAGTTTTCCAAAAATAATTTTTTTGCGAGAAAATAAAATTCATTCTAATTATCCCCTGCCTTAGGTCACCATAGTATACAACAAGCCTTCGCCGCTGTTGAGCTGAACGTTTCTCCACGCAACAAACTAATGTTGTTTCCTGAGCTTGTGAATGACCACTTTAGCGCAGGAAGCGACTTCGGCTATAATAATAACCTTTATATTGATTTGGCCATTTTGCTAATCGACCCGCTAGGATGGAGTGACTCGCCACAAAGCAATCCTTCACTCACAAAACCCTTCACTATCCCCGTTCCACCCATATGCACGCATTATCCCATTACCTTTTGTATTCATCCTTCATTACTATTATTACTAGACGTTACTCTCCATAGCGCTATGAGCTATAAGAAGCTTTACAGTGGAAAAAAGCTGCCCAATCTTGGCTCTTCAATCATCGCTAATGTTCAACCTTTCTCCCTTACCGACCGCCTTAGATGGGTCTACATCAAAGATGTCTGTTGAATAGAGACAGTTACCAATGTATTAATGAAGGTTGGAATTTACGGAAGAAGAACGGAAGCGTTAAGTTCAAAATAACACATGCGCCCTCCGGTGAACTAGAACTGTGTGTAGATTTATGTTGTGCTACTAGCTAATCCTATAAAGAGATTCTCATTGCTAATGTATGCTGACCTTGGCGGCACGTTTCGACTGCGCTGCGTCGTTCAATAAAGACGTACCTGTTGTGGGATTCGTGTCCCCTTTGAGCACTAGGCTCACTTGTCGCTTCGACAAAAAGAACATTGTTATCTACTAACAATGTCAATACGGATAGACAGATGGCAGCTTCATGGAACTGCCATTCACGTTCGTGGCAGACCAAAATTATTGATATGTTTGAATCTGTATATCCCACGAACTGCTATAATTTTGAAAGTCTATGTACAACCACAATCGCACTCTGTAATTAGAAGTTGGTCGGGTTTAATCATATCGATGCTTCAGACCGTATCGTAACCAGAGTTGATACTTTTCGCTCCAATGCGCTCAATTAATTATACGGTAGCTGCCCAAACAATGAAATGCTCTCCAACGAACCCTTTACTTTACTATTTAATCTGTGGTTTGGTGTGGCCAGTTCGATTGTACGAATTCTAAAGACGTCTGCTCGACTTAAGCTGCACCAAAGTTAGGCCGAGGATCTATGCCTGAGAAAATTCGCATGCAGGGTTATGCAATTTTCAGTAAAGCACTTATTGATGTCCAAAAACCTGTAGCAGCAGATAAAAAACCTATTGGGTAGGTTTTTTGATGATATCATGAGTTTTACAGGTACGGTTCCGAGTTAAACTGCGCTCAACAAATTCTGGAATCTTAAAGACAAGTATCCAAATAGCACAGACGACAATGACAGCCATAGGCGGTTCGCAGAATCCGTGTGGATTTGCTGATTACCGACTATTTCTACGTGATATTGCTGAAACGATTCGCGCACAAGCGTGAGCAGCGAACCAATGAGCATTTCTAAAAATGCAGAGCTTGCACTTTATTGCATCAAAAACTTCCAGTGAGTGCTGGCTCATGGTAGTGGCCATTGTTATGGTCTCATGGACGACTGACTTTGTAGTTCTCGCCGCGAAGTCTCCCATAGGTGACAGTGGAGTACAGAGCGTCTTTTTTCAACAAACACGTCTTAATGAAGCTAACCTTTATGCCGATCGTGTCTTTCATGTGCTCAATAATATGATGAACTCTACTAATCTTACATTCGTCATTAACTGCGTCAACAAGGATTATTTCAGGTAAATTATATATGTGAGCGTAAGCACAGAGTAAAAGCACTTTATTCACAACATTTGCACTTTTCTGGTCAATTATTTAATTTCAACTTTAAAAAAACACGCGATATAAATTTAGGCTTATACAGCAGACTAACGGTAAAAAACTATATCTGCAAGAAAGTTCACTGTAACGCCGTACTGGCTGGGGATACGTTAAATACCAACATTTTCACAATATGACTTGTAGCACGCAATTGTACTAGCGCTCTCAAAACAGGTGCTAATATGTCAACTATATAAAAAAAAAGTAATTCTAATTCTCTTAAATTGTTTAAGAATAGCGAACAAAAGCATGAAAAAATGTCTTATCGACTCGCTGGAGATATTTTGTTGGTGCTGGAAGATAGCACCAAATAAATTTGGGTAGATTTCTATGTTAGCTTAAAAGCTTCGGATGCTCTATGACTCAGACAGTTTATAGTCCTTTTTTAATATAATCGCGGTCGAGATGCAGCGAACCGGCTTTTTAGAACCGAACTCAGCACTAAAGAATTTCATGTCAGCCAAACAAAAGCATGCAGGATTGTATAAGTACTTTTTTTATGCTTAAGTTATCTAAGTTACAAAGTTTCCGTATCTTAGTAGATAATAAAGTGATGCAATACGCTAGCATTTTGATGTGCATTTAAAAAATAATAACACTGGGCTAATGTTGTTGGATATCCACTGGATTAGGTGTCCACTTCGTCCAGAACGCTGAGGTGGCAAAGTATGTGAGAGAACTGATGACTGACTTTATGATATATTTCGTTTTAGTTAGCTTAACAATGTTCCAAGGGCGCACACACTAGAAAATCATAAGATAATTAAACCAGTAAATAGAAAAACGTTCGTTATACGTCATGCGTCTGTAGATAAGCTATCAATGATTTCCCTTTATGACGATCTTTAATAGGTATTTGTAATCAACACTATCTGTAGGTACGCCTCGAAGCTTGCTATCACACTTCAAATAATCGCTAAATATTGTGACAATTAGCGTTATTTTTCCGAATCTCGCAACCTGCTTCATGATTAACTGGGTGATAACATTGTTCTGCCAATAGAGTTAAAAACATTACATACATAAATACAGAAATGCTTATTCCACCTCTTTCACATAGCATCATTCCCAGCCATGTTATGTCTTTCTAAGTGATAAATATAGAAAAATCGTTTCTCCCTCGTATTCTGTAATTGACATATAGCATAAAAGCCTCAGAGGTCTTTCATATAGTCTATAGTCCGTATCTGAAGCATTAGAACTAGCAGTCGTTAAGTAACGGCCTCATAAACAGAAGGTCGTGAATTTTCAATAGCCTTAAGCTTTTGTTTTTAAATTTACTCTCGATCAATTTTAGAAACTTTTGGGCATATAGTAGTTTTTATTACAACACTAGTCAAGCATTAGTACCAAGGCACATGCTTTTTAAGCCACAATTGTTTGAAGAGCAAAGCGACGTGTATGCATTATGGATATTATATTTAGTAATTAATCCTAGATAAAGAAAGAGTGAAATTCACGCCAGTGCAATGCAGGGACTTACCGCCGGAGATATGCCACAATTTGGGTGGTACTTTTTTTGCAAAGGCTGAACATTGTATTATCGTCGTATTGATTAATATTTCAATCCTAGCTCATTTAAATAGCCCATTCACGTTCCATTATTCCAATGCCTATTCAAATGCAGATACGAGTTCGCTATCCAGAACGTTCTTAAGAAGGCCGAGAGAGCATACAGTCTGGTGCAGATAGATACCGTTCCCCTTAGCACGTTTATGACTACCCGGATATTGCAACGGCTTTCAACAACAGGCGACATGTGGTATGTGCCATATTTGTACCTCAAATATACATCTGCCACGTATATTAAATCCCATTGCAAGCCATTCAATTATTATAATACGGTGAGATACTGAGCTGAAACGACTAAGATCAATAAATATAATAACAGATCAGATGATATTGTAATGGTGCTAGCCTAACAAACACATTCACATTTGTCGCATGGAGGTATGATATTTTTTTGTTATGTTGGGATGATGGAAAGGACAACCTCAAGTCCAATAATACGATCACTGCTAGAGATCGAGCTGATACCCTAGACGACCTAATGGAGATCTTTAAAGAAGAAGTAAGAGAGTTCGGAAACGTACGGTGGATCTTTTGGAATTGGCAGCATGTCATGAAAAGGGTAACAGATAATCTTAGAATTTTTGAAGAATAATAAATATTAGGTATTGTTTCTTGCGAAGATTAAAATAAAAATAAATCAAAAAAACAGTAAAATAAAAAACGATCAAAATATGGTTTCAGCTATATCCGTTTATTAACAGTTCTCAATCGACCATATCTACAGCTTACATAACTATCCCTAAGAACTGCATTAGAAAACAAAATTTTAAAAACATCTCGGTCTTTAAAGGAAATTGAATACTGTTAGTATTTTTTTACAGTAATTTCATTCAGATATTACGTAATTCTACTTCATCATCCGTTTTTTCAATCGTTAGATGTAGAGTACTTTTCAGATAATAGTAACCCAATGCATTAATCCCGTGCGTCCTTTCTCTACACGTCTTCTCTCAGATCCAAACAATATGCGGTGTGATCTATGTAAATATAAACGGAAGCGCACCGTTCATTCTAGCAGAACCAATGGATGAAATTCGGCGCTGCGGAGGCCGTATAATATTTATGGATATCGAAAGTCCGACCATAAGCGCCCTTCGAAATCCACGAGAAGTCGATACGAGCATTTTCAAGCACGAGATCAATTTCGCTCAGCTCAAACACCTTCAGGTCAATATTGATTTAGAGAAATCTTCTATCAAATGAGCATGATTTGCGCCCTAACTGAGAATAACCTATATGACAGATCTATATGTGTTTACGTTTCGACGCAGCATAAATGTAACAAGGGTAAGTGCTTCGCCAAAGGTGCTCTAATGAAACCATTATTTTTGAGTTTAGTGCCTGTAATCGCCGTCAAGCATTGCTGGATTTGATTGCATAATCAACAACTTCATAGATCCTACAGATAAGATGGCCTCAATGAAATGCAGACTCCAAAATGGAGGGATAGTCCTTTAAATATGTAAGCTCCTACAAGATGTCGATAACTTAGGGAAACGTTTGAACAAGTTGGCTTCGAACGTAAGAACATGCAAATGCATAACATAACTGTAAATGCACACGGTTGTACAGTAAACAAGCACAGAGGAGAATCTGCAGATACTTTGACATTGATGCTCCAATCTTTAACATGAAGCGAAGTGGCAAAACTTTGCTAATTGGAACATGGAAAACGACTGTGTGAAGCAATTTCGTCCGGGTGAACAAAATCTAAGAACTCCCAGTAAAATCGTTAACACAACAACTCGTATTATTAATTTTCTGTCAGGTTCTATGCGGCTTGTTGAATAGGAGCCAGGGCTATCCTTTGACTGACTACTGTGAGGAAAATCCTCAAAAAGAGATACTCAGCGCTCTCGCACGGAAAGTAGAACTCCACTTCAATTTTAGTTCAAGCGGATTTTTCGGTAGAAGACTGAAAACTGAAGATTACGACTTTCACGAACGTGAAAAATCGTTCTATCTGCACCAGGGAAAATACAACGGTACAGGTTACTTCCACGACTAAACGACATTTTTAAAAACCAGCGTCTATATGATTCTAAACGATTTTAGCAAGCTGTACCTCTAGTATTCCAATCGCAGGCAGAATCAACCTCATAGAAAAGCTTATGTCTGCGTTTCGCTATTCATGCGAGTAGGAATGTTGTTGGGACGTTTCTATACTGGTATAGCAAATTAAGAAAGAAAAGTAGAGCCGAAGAAAAAAGTAAAAAACTTAGATGATAGTGGACGCACATTTTTTTTCATTCTTATCTCCTACTCTAGGGCTTTATTTTAATTACTTGTATTAATCGATTATTGGCTGACTAAAATAAACGTTCGCAGAAGCGAGTTGCTGGGATATTATGGCGAACCTACTGATGCAATACAATAAATTTGCTTTCATAGGTTGCATTAAAAATGTGACCAAGTAAATAATTTATTTAACAGTGCTCTATATCTTTGGCGTTGCATGTTCCATTGGCTACTCCTAATGTGTGACTGCTTTACAGGTCTCATTGGTGATCTTCAGCAACGTCTCTTTGATATCAACGTAGTTAGTGTTTTTCCATCGGAGGACCTTCAGGTAGGTGCTTCAGAAGGGGCTATCCCTGTGTTGTGATTGAATCGTGACAGAGTTTCAGTGAGTTCAATCATTCGGCCTATTAAATTATGCTTGTTTCATTTGTTTAATAAATTGGAGTTTGTTGCAGGATGCCATCACCTTTGCTTCGTCGTATTACCGCTTTGATCAGCTAACGTTTTTTGCGCCACCGGCAATTATGGAGTTTGGCTCGCTTAAAACGATCTGGATGCCATTTAAACCTGATGTTTGGGCCTGTGTTATCGCCATGATTATTGGAGTTTCCAGCATCATGGCTATATTCGTAAAATTAAAGTTCGGCAAAACTTGGTCAGTTTCAAACTTTATTTTCCCATTAATGCACATATGCATTTTCCAAGAATTATTTTTGCCGTACGAGATGTTAGTCATTTGATACGAATACAAATTCAAAAAAGCCTATTTTAGATGTTTTAATTTTCGATTTTTATGCAATTTTAGATGTTTATGCAAAACTGCGCTAGCATTATATTGGACTAAAACCTTTTAGGTAATAGCGTATAATAAGGTATCGAACTTCATTACTTGCATGATGCATTGCAAATACTTTGGTTCACTAATTGTGTCGCAAACCTATGCGGCTTCAATGGCTCTTTTATCTGCAGCATGTCATAGCTGGTGAATGCTAGAGAAATGCCAACAATATTGGTAAGTACGAGTTTGGTCTTAATACTATTGTTGCTGATGTATTATTACAGGTTTTCATACAACCTGTTCTATATGTCGCAGCCAATGACAGCCCGATTGCCCGTTATACCGCGACAGTTCCATCGTGTTCTACCGATATATATACTCTTGGCCGCCTGGCTGCTAGGTAGCTACCTGATTTCTATGTTTTATTCAGGCGTCCTTACATCGTTTCGTCAACACCCGCGTACAACGCCTGTCATCGATACTTTTCAGGCTTTAGAAGCGATTCTTAGTCAGGTTTGTAATTCGGAATTGATTGTTAAGGTTTGTTTTAGTAGAAGCTTTCATCGTTTAGTTTCACTACCTAAAGTGCCTTTAAAGAACAAACCGACTGGAACTTTGGATTATCGATGAAATTAAAGCAGACGAAAGTACACCTTGAAACAAACTTTTGTGACCCCTCTAATCGTGCCCTTAGTGGCATCCCCCTTATTCAGGGGAAGGGCAAAAGAAGGGTATGATGAACCAATGTTATTAAGGATTATTCCTTTGTCCTATTTTCAATCGAATTCATAACCAAGGAACAAATCACGATTATCAAAAATTCTCTTTCGCTACTCATAACATTATTCGTTGATTTATCAAAAAGTAGCATTCATTTCAACGAATTTTTTTTTCATAAAATGCACCCTCCGAAGGAATAAAAAGTATCGCATTTTTTTTCTAGTATAAACTGCCATGTACTCAAGTTGTCTTCGATCTGATTAGCAAATTTCGTCTGCTATTGGTGCGTAGCTTGGAAGTCTTTTAAATTGCCAAATAGCACCGGGCCTACTCGTTCTGGTAAAAACTTTCGCGCTTACGTTGTCTCGGGCATGAAGCACAAACGAACTATTTAGAGGGGACCTAAAAGACCGTATCTATCAGTTGACTTCTGTGGTCATCAGAATCAGAACAAAGCTATAGACATGGTACTAGAATCAAATTTAATATAATTGGTTTTGTCCAAATTTATCTGTTCTCCGTGCTGCCTCTTTGTAGCAAAGCAAGAGGTCGTCGACGTCAACGACATGTTCGGGTGATTGCATGGCAGTAGCTGTCTTGAACGACACGAAATATCGAGCAATTCTTAAATCCGAGGGTGGAAGCAGCTATCTGGACCTCGCTCGTAAGCACCTCACCTACTGCAGCAAAGTGGAACAGTGCATCGATCTGGTTATACAACGAAAACATGTATTCTTGTCCTGTAAGTTGATCAAAAGCTGAACATTGTAAATTGAAGCAAACAAATCGAGTCCCACTGACGACTGAATACGGACATAGAGAGCTGACGTTTTTTCGCTTATAGAAATTTTGCTTTTATAACTATTTCTATTTACTCTTAGTGTTTTATTTATCTGTAGAACGGTAACCATTAAAGGATTGGGATGACACAGTTTATTCAACTGAAAGTAAACTGGGGTAAATATTAAATGAAGTATGGCTGGATATAATGATGAGGCGACGTATATATGGCGATGCATAAAAATAATCTTAAACGCGATTTTAACACTACTAATGACTAACGTTATTGCGGCGTTGTTGAAATAGGGCGTTATAGTATGCTACATGTTAATATAGTCCGACTGGTCTTAACGGGGTGTGGCTAAGTTGCTATGCAGATTTGCTAAAACGTTGTGGCAGGCATTTAAGAAATATTATGTTGCTATAGCAAACAACAGAAGTCAGGAGCCTCAATCAGGAGTCATTCGTCCTTGTAGCCCCGCTTACGGAACTACGAGGCCACGTGCGCCCATGTTACGGCCTTAGCACTAGTTTCCAAAGAGACTGAAGGGTTTAAAGCTTTGCGGCATTCCGAATCGAAAATGATTCCAAAAAAAATCGTACGCAAAGCATCATCAGCTCAATTAAGCGGTTAGATATTACAACAAAAGTCCTTTCGCACCGATTTCATAGCGAGCATTAAGTCGTAACAGCAACGATCGCCAACAACTAAAGCACATTTGACAATACCAAAACTACTGTGGATCATGAAAAGCTGTCATGCATCCACAGATGTCGTTAATAATTGTCTTAGAATCGTGCGGGATACCGCAAGATTCGTAAAGCTTTGGTGTATCCTGAAGTAAAGCCTTAATTTTTGCATCACGTTTGCTCTCCAACAGCGGACTATACAATGAAGTGGTACGTGGGCACAGATCCGAAAAATGGAGTTGTTCAGCGTGCAAAAGACAATATCAATGCCGGACGCTTGTCTATAACCCTTCAAAAAGGCTCCCCCATCCAAAATCAAGTCACTCGTATTAATCGTAAGTACTTCAACGCGTTCAGTTCTCGCTTTTCTTCGCACAAACACACCTCGGAGTCTGATGAATTCACATAGCAATGCTGACTAGTCATTCCTTAATCCAATTTTATCTATTTATACAAATGTTCGTGAAAGAAGTTTAGCAATACCCAGGTTGATTTTGGGTTTCCGCTAGATTATTTCATTTAATTTCTTCCTTTTTTTTAAACACGAAACAAGCTTTTGTGTTCTAGTCATAACAGCATAGTTACCAGAAGTCTTGGCCTCATTAGATTTTATAACGTCATTTAACCGACCAATAAACGCACCAGCCCGAAGAGTAAAGTTAAAGAGAACTAACGATGAAACTCTGATTATCCAAGTATTAAACAGCCGACCCATCATTCGCTTTACAGATCTTTTTAGTACGACTTATAATACTTATGTAACTTTGGTTGTAAGAAATTTCTCGAGAAGGGAGCGTGTCTTCCTCTATTTCTCAATTAATTGGCCGGAAACACTTACAAGCCATTAAGGCGCGTCCTAAATAGAAACGAACATTTTTTAGCTAATCACAGACAATAGCCGAGTCTACGGAAAAAGAACAATTTGTCAAGCTTCATTTGCAAATGCTGCTACAAACTATTTTTGTAGCTTTACATTGTGAAGAGCAGCTTATAAGTTTTGTTATAAGCTTATGATGTAAGTTCCACTAACCTACTCCTCAGGAGTCTTTAAGTCGACTATTGAAAGGATAACCTAGAATGATGTTTCATCAGTACTATTGTCTTATTCTACTGGTGCGACTGATCCGGAATCAAATGGGGCACCGAAGACCAATCTAGCCCACTTTAGAAGTACAGAACGACCCTATTTAGATCTTTAACTATAATATGCGATCGGAGTAAGTAATCTTGACCTGACATAATTAGTTAGTTTCGTTAAACATGGTTAGTTAGAACATCGTTGTTTTGTTTAGGGTATAGCAAATTATTTCCCCTAAAATCTACAGCGATAACGATTTCAAAAAAGTGTTTAATGAAAGTTCCAGTGATTAGTACCATCGGCTCTGACTCGACCCTTAAGAAATTGAAGTTAACGATTTATAAATACGGTAATATATTTTTTTTGTAGATGGATAAAGAAATAAATGAGTAATGGTACTAACACAGTAGGTACAGTTGTTCATTTCCTAGGTATGCACTACCGATATCAGCAGGCACATAAAACCTAAGAGGTAATGGAGGAAGGGCTTACCGAGTGGACAGAAAAGTTCGGTATTACCATCTTTGCCTATTGTTGAGTATTAAATGAAAATAGTGACCAAGTTTAGCTTGGCTATATGGCCCACCTACCATATTGTAGCAATAACAGTCGTAGCACACCGAGATTTTTTTGAAAAAAATCAAATAAATTTATGTTCAAGCTGGTCAGTTGGAGAGTAGGAATGCACGAAGTGAACAGCGAATATGGCCTTATCGTTCGAAGCAAGATGCTTCTCTATTCTATAATCATGGTTATGTTGTTTATGACTGAAATGAGTCTCGTCGTCGTTTTCCTAAAGCGTACCTGACGCCCAAATACTTTATGCTTTTTTCTGAAATAAAAATAAATCTAGTCTTTTCAAATATCTGATTAGATCTGTGGTCAGCATTATAGCTTATTATTTATAAATACTTCAAGATTTCAGCAAGTACTGATAATAGAATTGTATATGTGTACGCTCTGCAGAACAGCTTTTCGAACTCGGAGCGTTCGAGAAAATTGTGGCCTTGGAGGAATATCAGCTCAAACCGATTTACAACAAAACCAATTTAATTCCTCCATCTTCCGTGATGACTACGACCGACATGAGAGGTTCGTGGCCACATCAAAATATATGTCGCATATATGCAAGCTAGTAGTGGATGCTGTTCGGGTCATACATATAATTTGCATATTTAGGTGGAAGTACAAAGTAAGACCTGGGCACGATTCATCAGCTGATGGCTAGGAAAGACGATCTAAAGCTAGACGTTGCCTTACGTTACTAACAATTTGCGATATTACTATTTTTTACCAAAAGAAATATTTTCATATATTTTCTACTTATTTCAGGACTATTCGAGTTATTTGCGATGGGAAGTTTTTTTAGCTTATTGGCTGCGTTGTTAGAAAGACTTCTTTAGGATGGCCTGTGTGCCTGCGTGCTATTGTCGAAGCGTTGTGACTATACAAGCCGAGTCCTGCGAGACTCCCCCATTGTGAGAAGTGGCCACAGAGCTAGAACCGACCGTTGCAGCCCAGCTGAGGGAATGCCCTCTTCTAGACGACATGGCAATCTGTCGAAGAACTTTCTGAGCACGCAAAAAAGCCTCTTTCTATTAGCAGATAGCTCTGATCTGCTACGCGTTCCATTTTAATGTCTGGCCACGAATTGCAGTAACAAGCGCTCTCAAAGTAGCAAAAATACGATCGTGAAACGACTCAGCTAGTTTATGTTTAATAATACACCTACGTAATAGGAACGTTGACTAGGACTACGTTATTGGCATGTTCAGGTTAATTAATGATTGCTTAATTGAGATTAACTGAAGAGGACAAATAGATGCGAGCTAGGGACGTCATTCTTGGACTAATATTATCTAATATATTTATCACATGAAATGATACGATGAAATAAAAAGAAAAACATATTATTTATTGAAACTGAAATCTTTTTATGTAGTTTCTATTTTTTACTCAGTCAGCATAAATGCTTCTCCAGTTTACAGCATCAACAGACATAATTCATAATGTCCGGTATGGAACTAAGGCGGCCTTTAGAAAAGCCGACAATGGAAAAACAACATCGCCCATGTAACTAATTGAAGACTCAAGCTAATAGATCTGTTTCTTTATTGGTTTGGCGTTGTAGCGTTGATAAATTACCTTTCACTATAAAGTCGGCATTCTCAGTAATCATAAAACAAATGATAGTAACAATGTGATCCATTGATAAATTACAGGAGTAAATCGAGAAGTAAGATATATTTTTAAGTGTGTCGAATCTATTTATACCCGTGTTATATTATATATTCGCATACTTCAGCTTCCGTCACTCACAGATGCACTCCACGATTTCTAATTCTCGTAGGTTTTAATTGGTCTAGCCATCTTAGGTGTTTTCCAGGGAACTGCTTGACAGGCCACTAACAATGTAGATGTTTAATGACCACCTCGAACAGACAGGTTATATCTATGAACGTGGTAGTTCATACGGATTTGAAGTGAAAAACTGTTAAACCACACCGAGTTCTTGCTATTAAATGGATAGTTATCATTACAGTTGCATGTCGTTACAAACAAATGGAACAACAGCAATGCTAACAAACTCAAAATGAGTCAATCGCGATTACGATACGCTCTAATGGAACGATCTATCTAGTCTAATGGAAGTTAAAAAGCACAGTTGGTTTAATTAGCTCTAAGTTTAGTACATCTAATACTACTACTGTGGGTTAGCTACGAGAGGGGATCCACACCAGCATACTTATAGCTTGATCTAATATTTACAAGCACATAAAAACTTGCGATTTTCTAACTAGTTCTCTATATAAGACGCGTGCAGAAGCTGTAACCCGTCACCATTCGTGTTGAGTATACATGTGTACATTGATTAAAATTATAGGATTCGTCCTTCGAGTTTATTTTACGTTAAACGTACCACCATTTTGTCATTAGGGGATTGGGGTTGTACCACAGCTGCTGTTTCGATGAAAATACGTTTAAATTCCTATCGCAATATAAGATGTCGTAGTATCCGACATGTGCAATATTATTCTGGATGAAATACCTAAATACCCATTTGACCGAGTTGTACGGGTCAAAATGATCCCTTGGACATTATCAGGGTTCACCCTGTTTTCGTACTGATCAAGGTTGTTTGGTCTTAAAGGACCCTCAAGTGAACCGATGCTGCGAAATACAGTGAAGCCTAGCAATCTGAGTTTATAGCTAACGGGTCGAAGGCACCACAGTGGGCTGTAAAGCGATTTAGCATATTTTAGGAAAGCAAGCACCTCACAGTGCTATGAAAATGTAAGCATTTTTTTCTAGATCACGACCGAAATGATAGATAGAATAAATATCATCTACCATGACAGGGTTCAATAATATTTCGCTTATCTTCGTAGTTGTTTCTCACCTGTTTTTTCTGCTACAGGTTTCGGTACCGTTGCGTAGTATTACGTCAAATGAACCTGTCAGGGTTAAGGCTTAGTGTAAGCTATCTAAAGGACCAGCATCAAGCATCCAGAATCAGGTATCAAAGACCACCAGATAAAGCCATCTCAACGGATGTGGGTCGCTTAAAAAAGTTTCAATCAGAGGTACTATGTTAAAGACATTTCCGCTTGATATTCTATGGGTCGGAAATGGACGGGTTATTATTATTACCCCTAAAAGGCATGATAAACCGTCATTCAGATTGCAGAGTGACAACTCTGTGTGTGTGCAGCGAATATTGATCGTGATACGGCAAGTATTGGCAGTATCATTGGCGGATAACACTACGAGAAGACGACGTGCTTGATGAACGAAGGTCCGCCCAAGTGACTCTTTGTAGATTCAATATCATAACCATATTTATACTAGACTCAGCTTTTAAAGTTACAATGAATAGTGCCTAATATAACGCCCCGATGCATCACATCTGTCAATTCGGGTGGTGTCTGATAAAATGAATTAACTATAATAAATTATTTCGGTGTAATGATAAGTGTGGCACAATGAGAAGTAAATGCAGGGCTTTTTACGGCGCCGGAACAAGGAATTATAATTACTATTTCTTACATGTTGTTAACAGATTCCGATAATTTTGTACTTGTTGAACATCTTTGTCACGGGGGCTTAGTGACTCCACCCTGTCTTCACCCCCTAGGTGGCTTCAGAAAGTTCAATAATTTATTTTAATCTGTTCCTTACGATTAATATACTAGGCGATATCATTCAGTTGGATCTTCTGGCGCGCGACTGACACGGATACCAATCTCTAACACCTCGGGTGAATTGAACATGGAGGTAATCCCTCAAATCTGGAAAAATCACATAGTCTAAACAGGAGACTTACGTCGAGACTGCATTGTTGTGGGTCCAACGGCAAACATGTTTTGCCGCTTTCAGATTTGTTTGTCTTCTATCCGATTTCCTCTCGTAACGTACCTCAATGTAACATACCTTTGCATGAAAACATTTCTATGGTAGTTGATTAAAAAAGAACTTGTCGAAGCAGACAATTACGTTTAAACTATGAAAGTTTCATATCACTTAACACATTATTTTTATTATTTTCCATTCGATTTGTTCTAGCCTCTTCTATTTACTTAACGAGACCAAAAAGTGGACACCAAAAATAATTCAATTAACAAGATACAAGGATATACAGCATTGTGTAGATTGCGGTTTTGAGGGCGATGAGCAATAAATACTGAAATTTTTTGTAATCGTATTGGCCCATACTTGAATGAATGAATTTTTTCATAGCTCGGGTAACTATTGCCCCAACGGCAAAAACAAGCACTTCATACATGTAGTTGCTACGGACGCGTATGTAACCATAAAGGCGTGTTTTAGAAGTTGGGACTATGGTGAAATAGAATCTCGAGACGAAACTCAATCGTCGCCAAAGCTTCATACTTCAAAGAATACGTATTATGTTTAGAGTGATCTCGAAATCGTCTTGCCATCTAATAAGTTTTGTACCAAAACGAATAAAATGAACGAGTATGATATAGAAATTTCAACTTTTCATTTATTTAACTTGATTGGCTTCTTTTTGTATTTCTGCATTGAAAAATTGACTAGCGTTTGAGTAATGGCCAAGTTCCCAGTATTATATTAGAGTGTCGTATGTCGATGTATGTACACAAACGTGAGTTTCCCTTAACGATCTCATGGTTGCTAATTGTTATCTTAAGTTTATGTACAGTCAACATGCGCGTAACAGTTCTAAAAACCCGTCCGCCTTGTGATTTCATATAGGTAACGGTAATACTGCACACTGTTATTATAACTATATACGGTTCCAACATTCGATAATGTACATTGTGGTGATTTTGTTTTCAATCCATATATCCATACGCAGCGTGGAATCAATATACAGAAGGTGTAGTACGTTATGGCAGCTACCGCCGAATGCTGACCATATTCACAATGGCACTTGACTTTCTATTTCTTGTTTACTTTATTATCATTTCGGGACATTTATTGAGTCAATGATTGGCAATCTAGGCTTGTGTTTTCATTACTGAGACATCTTTCTCTAACTAAGCTATATGTCCGCATAACTGCTCTGAAGCCCATTTGACACGAGAGTGATTAAATGCGTTTCTAGAATCATGCACGTTGTTCTTGATTTCAAGCGTCATCTGATCTTCTTTATCTTCCGATTGTATCTTGCAGATATTACGTTTTGCGATCGGATAAGTAAGACACAACGAAGTGATTCTGTATCTAGTACGCTTGTTGTTTATGCTCGGTCTTCTACGTAGTTTACATCTCTATCTTCTGGCACGCCGCAATTAGTGGTTTGCGCTGGTCTTGACTGATAAGAATTTATACTATACTAGTTGCGATTAAGGTCCGTCATCGTATCAGTAACTATCTATGTCCAACGTGCCCAGGACTGCGGGTCCTGACAAAACAACGTTTTGAGAGGAACTAATGCCTAGCGGCTGGCTGCGAACAACTTTTATCGAAGCAACGCCTGCTCATAGCGGGACTTATACTAATGCATCTTGAAGTGGCTGCACCTTTATTAGCACCAAAAAGCACAAAGAAGGAAAACCACACGAAGTTATACCCAACGTATTAATGTTGTACTAGTATATTAACGCCTGCTCTACCCCGAGATCATTGACATCAGCATTTCTAAGCGTTGGCGCCGGAATTGTTCTTAAAATAATACGGTTATAAGGTTTTCTAGAGAGATCAAGGTGAATTCTGTTTTCCTAATTCTCAAGGCAGATTGGCGATTGATACGTTTCGTTTAAGCGACTTGATTAGCAAGAAGATCGAGTAGATAATTGTGACACAGGAGGTAATTGAGGTAATGATGATGGACGCATCTTTAAGCGAGCTGACTTCGATAATAAAGTTGCCTAGAACCGGTCCTATGAAACAACCAAGAAATGAGGACCAGTTGGTGACAGCTGCGGTCGCCGTGTGGGCGATTTTACTATCAGTAATTTGGCACAGATCGTCACAGATCATCAAGTAACAACAGACGTAGAATGGGCCTATCGATAGGCCGAGAATCAGCTGCGCGACGTAGACTACCCACAGTGGATGGTCCCGCAGAGGCACAAGTGGGGGTATGAACAGCATAGCTGCAATTGTTGATATAGCGCAAATAAGTAGTATAAGCCGACGGGCTGCCGTTCGCTGGGTCAAAAAGCCCGACGTTAAACTCGACACGGTATAAGACCCAGCTGGCAAGAAGAAAGACAGCCCTACGGCAGTTGTTGATAGGGCGTACTTCGACAGAAGCATAGCAAATGTCGAATCATTAAATGTATCGACGATGTTCGATGTTGTGACCATGAGCATACACACGAGAATAGTTGGCCGAATAAGTTGCTTCAGGGATACGCCAGTCTCCTCGGCAGCACTGCTCGATGAGCTGGGTAGGAACAAGTATGCGACAATGACAAGGATATACAGCACAGAACTGTGGTAGAGAAACGGTAGGACGAAGCCTCCAGTGTCATATAGCGCGCCGGAAATCGCCGGGCCAATCGTCAAGCCAATACCGTATGTACATTCGAGGAACGGCACAGAAATATGGGATAGATTTGGTAATTGCGAACCACTCACAGAGTAGACGAGATTGAAACCGATCGACGCACCAAGCGATTGTAAAATTCGCAATCCTAGCAAAGCGAAGAATAAACCAGTACCTTCAAGGGCGAAGTAGTACACTGAAATCATGCAAAGCATGCCAGTTGCATCGAGCAAATAACCGAGAACTAAGAACGTCTTATCATTAATGAGATTTAGCATGGTCAACCTAGCGATCACTGGTAACATCGTTATGGCTACAACACTGTTTGCACTCATAATAATTCCATATTGAGCAACTGTCATTCCAACGAATGGCGCGTGTTCCGAAAGAAACGACGCCATGTGTGAGTCACCTGCTCCTTGGAGCAACAGGCCGACGCAGAGAAGGCCAAGCGTCACACTCGACCCTGGACGGTATTTCTTCATTGTGACAAGTAGAAGGTGCTAATACACTGCAACTCACGTCTACTTTGTCTATAAGTCAAAAGAAACATACAGATTTAGGTAATATCAATTGTCTTCGTAAGGTTACCAGGGCTTCCAGTAAAAAGTCGATCCTCGCAGCTGGCTGTGCCCTTTACCCCTCATACGTCAAAAAGTGTTTTTCACTCTAAGTAGACCTTGCCAAATCTTACGAAGGTTGTCAGTTGTAATAGTAATGGGTACAAAGGAAGTATTATCCGGTACACGATGCTGGCATCTGGGTCAAGTCATTGCCGTACATGCGATAAGATGTTTGCTATACGCCAGCAGACGGTTTATACAGCAGCTTTGGTCGCAGCGTCCGCACCCAGTTCCTGTCCAGTAAGAGCGACTAAAGCACTGCAGTCTCTCCTGCCGTCAGCAACTAAGGGAGATTAACGTTGTGCTGGACTGAACTCAGTGGAGTTCTTAGTCAGCAAAGCCTTTGCGCTTTCCTAGTACACCCGTTACTCTTTATGGCAATGGTATTTCTTCCTCCGTAAAGGATCCTCCTCTACCGCCGATACACGCTAATAGCAATCAGAAAATAGTGCTAGTACCGTCAGATAGTGGAACTCGTTGACGCGCCTTGAGTCGCTATTCGTCGTGCGACTCCTTCAACGACCAATCTCTACGACGCGTCCCGTCTCCCTTCAAGACGTTTACGGCGATGGAGTGAGCAGTTCTCGCCGATCAAGCTGCTGCGGTTTTTTCGAACCAGCCCTCGACTTCCTAGCGGCAGAAAGAAGCGACTCCGCACCAGTGCATAGTTGCGGCTACCCGCTAGGGTAGAAAGACAATAAATAAACTACTTAGAGTAATCATCTTACAAACGCACTAGACGCGTTTCTTAATTGGTTGTCTGCTTGCTGTATCTAGTTTGTGTTTTGCACTGCATTCCTTATGGGAACGGTTTGCTTGTTGACGTGTCTCTACACAGGTTTTGATTGACGATTTGAGCTGAAGATATCATGCAGCTGTCAAGTTACTAGGGCAGAGGTAAAGATTACAAGCGATTTATCTTTAATGTAACGCCCCTTCTGATGTCACAAAACTCTTTCGATTCATATACTTAAGCAGATGCTTTTTTCGTTTTAAAAATCAGCTATGTCATCACCAATATAGTGAAAAGAGCTAGGCAATCCCGTTAATAGATTTCTAAACACTGCCTTTAGTGGGCTGTTGTAACTAGTTATTTTCTAATTCGTTATTCTTTGCTTGCTCGTACTAAGCGCCTTAGGTATGAATGTTTTGAATGGGGAGTATCATGCCTGGCCTTTAGAACAGTCGATGTTCACGATAACGTGGAAAATATAACGTAATGTTGGTAGCATGATCACGATATACGGATAAGGGGTCCATAACGGTATCGGTAGTATCCCCAACACTACATAGAGGATAACATACATATACCTCTACAGATTAATTCATGTTTTTCCGGCTTATTTAGCGCATGCATTATTATGCGTTCTAAAAAAAGAACTACGAACTTATTGAAGGAGAAACAAGAATTCAATTAAGGGTAAGCTATTATTAATCGTATTTATATCCGAAGACTTCCTGCTCTTTCCCGAGAGTCTAAGGAGGAGTCCCATACGGCGCCGTCGAAGGTACAGGGTAAAAAATACTTACATAAAAGCACTTAGAAGACACTAGTAAAAACTGAAATCCAGGAAAAAGTACAAGGAAAATTGTTTAAAAGAGCACTGGAAAAATATTCAAAAAAAGATGGTGCATAAACGCAGATTTAATAAGAGTAGAATTTTTATTTAAAATTCAAAGCTTAATGTTGTAAATGCTCGTGCGCTTTGGCTCACGAAACCTCGAGCCACTTTGGATTTCATGAAAGCTTTACAAAAAACCTTTCTCGAACAGACACAATGATCCAGTTACTTGTTTACCTGCTCTATCCTCAAAGGCATGTTTAGGTGTAACCATCCGACCGTCTCCGATATTTCTCCAACGAAAAAATCCGTATGACTAACACAAGGGTTCGTCAGGACAAATTACCGCAAGTTTTTCGCAGTCGCAAGGATGTTTGAATTTTTGCTAGCGTTTAGACCGAACACGTATTATAGCTTAATGATCGCTGTCGACAGGGTACCAAGCCACTGTCATAACTCGTGGAGAAAATAGTAGTAGAATTCGTGTGCATACACATCGGCAAGCGGGCGAAAAACTTAATATTACTATGAGTAGTAATATGAACATATAGTAATCGAAGTTAACAAACTTTTTATTTGAATGATAGTCGAAAAGAGGGTCTTGCAAACAAAATTAGTCAAATCATAACCGAATAACATAATTAAGAAAATCCTCACAAATTTTACTAACAATAAATTGAAAGTTCTATGAAAAAACCATTCAAAACATTCAACGAACTTTACGTCCATGGCAAAAATTAGATATGCCTTCAAAAAAGGGTATTAGAGTTGCGAATCCATGGGCAAATAGTCGATCTTAGGGTCTTAAGGAAGGGCTAGCACGTATTAACGCGAAGCTGAAGTTTGTGAAGCAGCAACAGGTGCAGTAATAGCAAACAGTAATAAATTGTATGCTCAATCGAGTTAGAGAAAAGATAGACGTAGATAGTATTTAACAAAAATGAAAACGTGGGAAAAAATAAGTAAAATTAATATAAAATAGCGAAGCCTAGTGATGTCTCATTCAATAACGTTTTAGCACCCGAACAGTACTTATAAAAAATGAATTTATTAGGCAACTGATGCAAGCTTCGGCACAGACCGACAGTAAAAATAACTGAAAAGATCTGAGCTGAATAATCAATTTCCAGAAATAAGGAAGCAGCAAAGAAGCGGAGACTAAAATCAGCCAGCAGAACCAGTGCTCCGAAAATTAATGTTTTTTTTAAGTTTCTAGTCCTGAGGAGGAATTATAACAACTTTCTTCAATAAAATCCAGATGAAAAGAAAATTATCATTGGCATCGACCTCGTAAAGCAAAGTAAACCTTCACGTTACACAGTAAATTTCACAGTAAATTTTCACGTAAACCTTTTTAAAGTCATTCGAATAACGTAAATGAGGTCAGTAACCTTAAATAACCAAAGTTCAGCTTTAGTGCGGCTATAGTTGAAATGAAAACATTTATACACCTTTTTCAGTCCTACAAGTACAGCAATTGCTTGAAAAAACGAAACGTTATCCCAAAAATCTAGAGGTGCACGTCCCAAAAAGTAAGCTTAATAGATAGATTAAGAGCCAGTGGGTCGTCCTTTACCTTTTAGAAGCCAGCAAAGAACTCAAAGGAGGAATCGATAGTAATAATCAAAACAACTAGTCGATATTTACAATACTATCTTCACTCGATGTCATGCACAACAAACATGTATAGCTGTATGTTATATATGTATGTTCTAAGATGTACTCAGGCATGTGTTCCTCACCGGTAATAGCGAACAGGTTACAAATAGTCCATTTAATGTATCTAGGTGAGCAAATAAGAAATTCGAGAAAAGGCATTAGAGGATGTAACTTTTTTAATTAAGAAAATCATTGTGACAAAATTCAACAATTTATTAATGGGGGACGAAATCCAGTAAAGGCTTATCGGTCAAAGTACAAGCTTTCGCAAATCATAACAGGCTATGATTATTAGTAAAATTTAATATTAGGTTCTTCGAAATAAACCCTTAGAATCTCTGATTATTTTGAGCTTATTGCCAAAGATTCGGTTGTGATCTATAACTTTTAAGATAGCAGTCTGAATAAGTTAATCATGCTTACTCGGCAGCGATGCCAGCTCCAAACGTGTTTGAAAAAAAGGAAAAGTGTTCCGAAGAAACTGTTATTGAAATAATGAAAAGAAAAATAACAGACTAAAACTTGAAATTGTAATCAGATGGGGCCTCATGAAAGTCATAACTTAGAAGAAGCGGTCAGTACAGCCATTGGAACAATAGCGCAATACTTGAATTCAAATTTAGCAGAAAAAAATTAGTGCGAATTGCCCACTAAGTCTAGGATTCTTCACAACCTAGTTCATGGCGGAGTAAGAAATATGATGTTTAAGAGGTAAACTTGAACTTAGTTATTAATACTCATATTAGAAAAAGAAAAAACTTTACAGAAATAAACTGAAGCAGTTGATAAGATTCTCGCTATGAAATACAGAAAGAATAAGCCTTTCGTCTGCGGTACCAGCTCGGAAAAGTAGAAAATAAATTCACTCCAAAACCTTGCGACGTTCTCTGGTAATTATTTGGTAAAGCTTATTAATGAACTCAGTAAATATTTAGAACGAGAACAATATAATAAAAAAATAAATGCCTACTCCAAGACATATACGAAATTTTTATTGGTTAGGGCATTTTCTCTGAGACAATCAAACAATCTGTGACTTACTTACCGTCTATAACGGTGGTAAGTTAATAGGTGATAATTTTCTGTCAGTAGCACTACCTACTGTCGTCTGCTAGTAAAATACTGGTAAAGGTCTAAAACAGGTACCTAGCTTAACGCATAGAAAGAACGAAGATTATTAATAAGGAGCAATATAGGTTTACAGCGGGAACAAGTACGAAAAATGCAGTGGCTGTCGCTAACGATTTGTTTGGGCAAGCCACAAAAAATATGAGAAAAAAAAAAACTATTTTCTGAGTATGGATAATTCTATTTCCAACATAGGCAGCTTAACTTAAATGATTGAAATTCAATTTCAACAGGGAAAGATGAAGGAATATCCGACCCGTTGGTAAAGCAATCAATTAAGTATTCATACATCTGCCATGATTGCAATGCTCTATATCCAATCGTAATTTTTAACTTGATAACAATATAGATGTTTTTGTTCCTGCAGAACATTGGGTACACAATAGATCGTGAATTGTTTCTATAGAGAAAATAGAGTAGCAAACCGAAAGAGCTGGACGTTATCCTTACTTAGTTTGCATTAAAGTCCGGATCAGGCATATTTTGTCTTTGGTTTAGAGCTTCCGTCAGGGCTGGCTTCGGCTATATAAGACCTCCAATGGCAGATGCAGAAACGACCAGCGACAGAACAAATCGTCTTATCAACCCTACAACACTGTCTAAAGGCGGGCAACTTATATGAAATAGCGGACTGCAGGTTTTCTTGGGGAGAAAAGCTTTGTTTTGACGAAATAGGATACTTTTCATGAGTCTTAAAATGCAACCGAAACCTGGTGCTAAATAAACACCGTAGATGTGTTCAAGATAAGAATAACCGCAGTCATTTGCGTTAAAGAAAGGCCAGACATTCAAATTTTTATAGCATAAGTACGTTGTATTATGATGCGCTCAGAATGTGAGGTCAATTTTTTTTTT